GCCTCAGCCCCTCATCCAAGGGGGAAAGGGGGCAGGGTGTCCTCAGGAATGGCTCTCTCCTTCTGGTTGGGAAGCGTGGGTGACTGTGGCAGAAGCATCCTGGAAGGGTCTGTGCCCTCCTGGAGGAGGTGGCACGAGGGAACCGGCTCCACTCCTCTGTCTGACCTGGAAAGGAGGAAAATCCTGATTATCTGGGGTTTTTTATTCTGCTGAGGGGACTGAAGAGCCCCTGGGGTGCCTCCTTTCTGCAAATAAGTGGATTAAAACAACTTGTCCTTTAGAGACCCAGCTCCTTCTTGGGAAAACCACAGCATTCCCAGGAGGAAAAGGTCCTTCTGCAGATGAGAAATCCTTGGAACCTGAAACCTGGAGGTGCCCAGGAGTGCAAAACCCAGCCCTGATCTGAGTGCTGCTCCCACCTCATGTGGGAGTGGGGCTGGGGAGGAGGAGGATGATGCTCATTGGAGCTGTAGAACATTCCTAATCTGGCTGAATTCCCAGGAATGACAAAGAAATTATGGACGTAAAAGACAGGTCACGTCAGGGAGCGTTGGGCACCCGGCAGTGCCCCCCAGCTCTGCCGGGGGGTGTTTGGGAGGACAGGTTAAATAAGGGGAACTGGCTGCTCTGAATAGTCCTGAGCCGAAGGAGAAGTCCCAGGACTCTGGATCCTCCCAGGAGGGCAGCAGTGGGTTGGAGTCTCCCTGCCTTTCCAGGTGGTTCCGGGGCTGCTCCCAGTTTGCTGCTTGTCCCTGGGCGGCTGTGCCGTGTCCTCACGTCCCTGGATGTGAAACTCTCCCTGGATGTGAACCTCCGGAGTGTGGAGGGGTTTAGGGGGGTCCTGCTGACCTTGGGTGACGTGTGGAGCCTGCTCCTGTCCCCCCTTCCCATTATCCAGGACAGCAGGGGCTGGGAGGGCACTTTTCCCCCGCTCCGGATGTGCCGACGCTCACGTCGTCCCCGGGAAAAAGTAACAATAATTAAAAATGGGGGTTGCTGAGCCAAACCTGGGGATGGTGGGATGGAGCCTGGAGCTGCTCCTGGCACGTGTCCTTTCTCTCTGGAGCCTGTGCCTGGCTGAGCTGGGTCAGCTGGGAGCTGGTGGATGCTTTCCAAACCCTCCTTCCACAACCTGCTGTCCCCCGGGGCTGCCTGGGATGGAATCAGGGATGTGGAGCACAGCAGAGGAGCTCAACAGCCTCTCTGGAGCTGCTCTGGGAATGGAAGGAGTGTTAAAATCAGTTTTAAAATGAAAGTGGGGCTGTTCCCGTGTGAGAGGGACACAGCGAGACCGTCTGTAAATCCAGCTGCATGTACAAATCCCTCTGGAGCTCTGAGCCAGAGGGTGGAACTTTCCTTACTCTGTCAGCCCCAAAAGCTGCTCTCTGGGCTGACTTGCTGGGAAAGTCCTTGGGATCCTGGGCTTTTGGGATCTTGGTGTCTGGGCTTGGGAAGGTGCTGTGGAGAATGGCACACCCAGCCGAGGGTGCCAGTGCCCCCTGGAATCTCTTTGCCCTCCCTGTGCCATAATCATTAACCAGCCAAGGCCAGGTGTGCTGGGGACACTCTGCTGCTGCTCTGGGGCTCTGTTCCCACAGAATTCGTCCTTAGAACCCTGGCACAAGCCTGTTGCAGCTCCTTGTTCAGCTTCCTGGAGGTTTGAGGTGCTCCGGACAGTGCAGCCGGACAAGGGGATTGGTGCTGGGAGCATCCAGGGGTCCCTGGTGCCTCATTTGGGCCCTTTTTGGGATGTGGGGCTGTACCAACAGGGCTGATGCTCCCTCAGCTCCAGCTCTGGAAGGGGTGGATTGAGCTGAAAACGAGCATCTCTTGCTGGGAAGTGCCGGATCCATGTGGGAATGACACGGTGGCTCCAGCTTTCCCAAGGGATCAGAGTATCCTCCTAGCTTGGAGGTGTGACTGGGAGCAGCAGTGCCCTGTGAGAACTTGGCAGGAGACGGTGGATCCTGGTGTTTTCCCACAGGACACCTCCCCAGATCCCTGCTGTTCCAAGCCTGTTTGGCTCCCCCCAGCCCCTTATCCGCATCTCCTCCTTTTCCGGGATAGCGACCCTGGAAACCCCTCGGCTCCATTCCTGTGCAGGGAAGTGGGTCCTGCCTTGTTTTCCCTCCTTGGCCACGAATTCCTGGGACAAAAAAATATTTTCCTTGCTCTCAAAGCCTCGTGCTCCACCCGCTTGGAGAAGCCGCTTCCAGCAGGCTGAGGTTGGGGATGCGATTCCCAGAGCGCGCGGAGCCGCGGCCTCCAGCCGGGAATGCCGCCCATTCCGATCCCGGTGACAGCCCAGGGATTAGGAGATTTGCTCTGCCTCCTTAATGCAGCTGCAGCACGTGGGGGGCTCCGGTCACGCACTCTGCTCCGGAGCCTTTCGCGGCCTCCCTCCGCTCCCTGCCGGCCCTGCGGGAACGTCCCGGTCTCCCAGGGCTTGGATGTGCCCGTGGCTGCTTGGACTCGGGAGCTGCCCGTGGTGTTGGAGGATAATTTTAGCCAGGGCAGATTTTGCTAAGCTGGGGAGTTGGGCTGAGCCTGGTAAAGCCCCGGCCGGGATTACTGGGGGTGATTCAGCACTCGGGTGTTTTGCTTTCCCTTGGATTCGATCCCGCCATTCCCGTGTTCCCCCAAGGGCTGTTTCTCCTGGGGAGGGGGCTGTGCCTTGGAGCTGGCTCAGCACCCACGGCCGGTGCTCTGAGGGGGTGAGGGGAGATCGTCATGTGGGATGTTGTGGGATCAGGGAGCACAACAGCCCTCCATCCCCATCCTCTCCTTCCCAACGCATCCCAAACTTGGCTCCATGAGACCATCAGGCAGCGTATTTCCCTGCCGGGAAGTGCCCTATCCCAGGATTCCCAGGACAGACAGACCTGCACCCTGGGCTGGAGCACCCTGGGCTGTCTGTGCCTTGTCTCATTTTTCCCTCCTGGATTCACCTCTTCCCGAGAAACCTTTCCCAGAGCTGGAGGGAATTCCCCAGCTGACACTTGAGGCTGTTCCAATGCCAGCACCTGGTTTATGGGTGGAGGTTTTATTCCCTCTGGTTTGATGAGTTGCCAGAGGAAGAGCTTGGTGTGAAGGGATGGGAATCTTGTCCTGGAATTGCTGATATTTTTCCCTCCCTGGAAATGCCCAGCAGGAATATGCCGGCACAGAGGTGGCACAACCCTTTCCCAGAGTGTCCAGGAAGGATTGATCCAAGAAATATAATTCCTTGTTGGGAAATGTGGAGACACTGCTGGTACCTGTCTGGAAGTGCTTCTGCCCCTCTTATCCCACCAGCTCTCCCATGGGAATGGGGGTTGTGGTATCCTCTGGATCCTCCTTCTACTCTACCTGGGAATGGGAGTTGTGAGACCCTCTGGATCCTCTCTCTGCTTTCCTGTGGGAATGGGAGTTGTAGTGCCCTCTGGATCCTCCCATTGCTCTCCCATGGGAATGGGGGTTGTGATTCCTTCTGGATCCTCCCTCTGCACCAAACTACCTCAAACAGTTGGGAAATGAAATCTCCAAACTCCATTTAGCATTCCCATTCCTTCCACTGATACGAGTTCAAGCAATTAGTGTCAGAATCCAACTGGAATCTGCTGGGAGGTCCGGTCTGGGAAGCAGATCCATGGCCAGGATGGAGGAGCTGGCTGGAAACCTTTCAGCAGGAGCACCCCCAGGAATGCCTGGGATGCTTGTCTGGTGGTGGATCTGATCCGTGCTGGGCCGTTCCTGGAGTCCCACATCATCCCACTTGTCCTGTGTCCCCTCCCGAGGGAATCCCACACTGCTTTTGGCCCCTCCTCTGGGATTCTGCAGGATCCATGGCTCCATTTTCCACCCCAAAAAGCCATGCTGGTGCTGCACCTCCCTTGCTCAGATTCCTCCTTTCTGGAATGGATCATCCCAACTAAATCCTTTCATTCCTCTCCTCTCCAAGGCTGTTTCCCACAAAGCTTTCAGGGAGTTTTGGGAATGGCTGTGGCCTGGGAAACCCCTCCTGGAGGCCCTTGTGGGCTGTCTCTTCCCATCCTCTTGGTTTATCCGGGATCCCTCGAGGTCTCCTGGGGGTGTTTGTGAATCCCGCTCCTGCCACGACGTCTCATCCCTGGGAAGTGGCAAAATTAAATCCTGGAGAGACACAATCCGAGGGAAGAGGCCACGCCGGGGTTCTCTGCTGGGGTCTCTCCTGCATTGCAGCATTCCAAGGAGGGGGCTCCAGGGTGGATTCCCTGGTGCTTTCCCTAATTCCCTTTCCCTTCCCTTGTCTTTCCCTGGCAGGAGCAGCAGTGAGTCCCTTTGCACCTCACACTGGGTGAGCGCAGCAGTTTTGGGTTATTTCCCCCTCTTTTAATGAGCTAAATTTGATGATCCAGTGGAAGTGCTGGAGCCTGGAGTTGCCTCTGGCCCAGAAAGGAAGGAGGGGTGGCTCTTTTGGGGGATCCTCTTCCAATGGAAACATTTCCTGCCGAGGAGGGTGGAAGCCAATGCAATGTCAACTTCTCTTTGTTGAAATGTTCTCTCCTGCCCAGGTTTCAGTGTCAGTTTTGGAAGGATGTGCCGTGTTTTTAACCTGGGGGATGCTCTGCTCCTGGGGAGGAGCCTGGAAGCGCCAGGGATCTGCTGGGACCGTCCCAGCTTTCTTGCTGCTGAATTTTTTGGGCAGAAATCTGGCGGAATCGGGGCATGGATTTGGGTTGGACAAGTGTGACCCTTGAAGGAGCCTCCTGGAGCTGGGAATGGGCTAAAGGGGAGGTTCCTGGATGCTCTTTTTACCTTCAGGTGTTGTGTCAGACCTGCTTTAACTTTCGAGTTGGATCAGGCAGAGGGTCCAAATCGAGGGGTTGGATTTTGGGATCTGCAACCTTGTTGTGTTTGGTGACGTTAATTTTTGTGACTGGGGCAGCCCAGGTGGACTGAAGGGATCCATGGGCAGCCACGGAAGGTGTCATGCCCTGAGGGTCACCCCCTGATCCAGCACTTCTTCCCTTTGCTCCCAGCAAATCCAGTTTGCAGATGACATGCAGGAGTTCACCAAATTCCCGACCAAGACGGGCCGGCGCTCCCTGTCCCGCTCCATCTCCCAGTCTTCCACAGACAGCTACAGCTCTGGTAGGTGCCAGGTCCTTGCCCCTGTATGTCCCATATCCCAAATCCGGCCCTGGTGCCGCTGGGAATGTGCTGCTCACACCCCGTGGCGGGATCGGTGCCGCTCTTTGCGCTTGGACACGGAGGGGATGGTTCCCGAGGCTCGGGCGTTGATCACTTCTTGATAACTCTGCTGTTGTAGAGAACAGGAGTGCAAAATTCCTTCAGGATGTTGGCCTTCCTTAGGAATTTGGTAGTTTGAGCCATGAGTGAAAGCTGGGAAGGGAAACAGAGCAGAAACCTGAGGGATGGGAGGTCCCTGCGTTCATAAGACCTGGATTCAGAAGATATTCCCCCCTTCCTTTTAACCAGAGGGTTTCTTCGGCATTCCCAGCTGTCCTGAGCAGGGGCAGATCCTTCATCTCACACTCCCCCCACCAGCACAGGGAGCTCAGGGCTCTTGCAGCAGCAGGTGGAACTCCATCCCTCTCCTCACTGGAAAACCGGAGTGCAGCTCTCCAGGCCAGCACCCCACAGCGAGCCCTGCCCCGACTGCTCAGTCCTGATCGGAGCTGGAGGTGCTGCTGAACACAAAACACCTCAGAGAGCCCCTCCCTGACCGCCCAGCTCCCACCAGGGTCTGTCCCCAGCCAGGGAGGGCACACTGGGATCCATCCCACACCCAAAGGGGGAAGCAGTGAGGGTGGACAGGCTGGGAGAGCCGGGGGTGTTCAGCTTGGAGGAGAGAAAACTCCAGGGAGATCTTCAAACCCCTTCCAGTGCCTGAAGGGGCTCCAGGAGAGCTGGAGAGGACAAGGGATGGACAGACAGGACAAGGGGGAATGGCCTCCACTGCTAGGGTTAGATGAGATATTGGGGAGAAATCCTTCCTGTGAGTGTGGTGCGGGGCTGGGATGGAATTCCCAGAGAAGCTGTGGCTGCCCCATCCCTGGAAGTGTCCAAGGCCAGGTTGGACGGGGCTTGGAGCGACCTGGGCGGGTGGGAGTTGTCCCTGCCTGTGGCAGGGGTGGGATGGGCTGAGCTCTGAGGTCTCTCCTCTCTGGGGTAGCTGCATCCTACACAGACAGCTCCGATGACGAGGTGTCCCCCCGGGAGAAACAACAAACCAACTCCAAGGGCAGCAGCAACTTCTGCGTGAAGAACATCAAACAGGCCGAGTTCGGGCGCCGGGAGATCGAGATCGCGGAGCAAGGTACGGCTGGAATGTTGGGATTATGGGATCTGGGGCAGCCCTGGGCCCTCTGCAGACCAGGAGCTGAGCCCTGGGGATTCCCACTCCTGCTCCAGCCTTGGAGAGCCTGTTTTCCCCCTCAGATCAGTCAGGGAAGAGCTGGATGTGCCAGCAGACGTTGGTGCCCTGTCACAGCCATTTTCGAGCCCTTGCGGGGCTGAATGTTGGTGGCTTTGGGTGGACAAGGATCTTGGAACATTTATGGAAACCAGGAGTCCCAAGCCCTTCCCACGAGGCTCGTGGGAAGCCGAGTTCCCATTTCCAGTGGGGTGATTGGATGACACTGCTCTCCCGTTAGAAGGGGGAGGTAATCCAGGCCCGTTTGGAGCAGCTCCTGAGGTGTGGCAGCTCCAGGTCACCTTTGGGTGCTCCGAGGGCTGTGGCTGTCCCCGGTGCCTCCCAGGGCAGAGCCAGGCCCACCCCTCTCTCCTGGCATGGCCAAGGGACAAATGACCCCGTGGTTGGTCCCGTTTGGCACAGCCCAGGCACGGGGAGTTTGCTCCCGGGCCGTGGAACAGCTCCAGCACGGATGGTGGGGCCGGAGGGACCCTGGGAGAGCCCAAAAGTGGGAGAGGAGCTCCGGCAGCTCCGGATAGAGCCGGCATTAACCCCTCTCTTCCTTTTGCAGACATGTCTGCTCTGATTTCACTCAGGAAAAGAGCCCAGGGGGAGAAGCCTTTGGCTGGAGCCAAGATCGTGGGCTGCACCCACATCACGGCCCAGACCGCGGTGAGTCCCGGGGAGAGCCCGGCTGTTCCCTGGGGAACACAATCCCAGCCTTGGGAAAGGGATGAGGCACCTTCAGAACTCCAGGAACATTTTGGGAAGGTTCTGCTGCAGCGTTTCCCCAGGAGCTGATCTGGGATCGGTTCCTGTGCCTGTCACTGCTGCCCCAGGCCTTCCATGGTCCTGGGGTATCCCTGATCCCAGGGTATCCCTGATCCCTGGATATCCTCTATCCCTGGGGTATCCTGATCCCTGGATATCTCTGATCCCAGGGTATCCCTGATCCCTGGATATCCTCTATCCCTGGGGTATCCTGATCCCTGGATATCCTCTATCCCTGGGGTATCCCTGATCCCTGGGATATCCCTGATCCCTGCGGTATCCCTGATCCCTGGATATCCTCTATCCCTGGGGTATCCCTGATCCCTGGATATCCTCTATCCCTGGGGTATCCCTGATCCCTGGATATCTCTGATCCCAGGATATCCCTGATCCCAGGATATCCTCTATCCCTGCGATATCCCTGATCCCTGGGATATCCCTGATCCCTGGATATCCTCTATCCCTGGGATATCCCTGATCCCTGGGATATCCCTGATCCCTGGGATATCCCTGATCCCTGCCCCTGTTCCCAGGTGCTGATTGAGACGCTCTGTGCCCTGGGTGTCCCTGTATCCCTGATCCCTGTATCCGTGATCCCTGATCCCTGTATCCCTGATCCCTGTGTCCCTGATCCTTGTATCCCTGATCCCTGTATCCCTGTTCCCAGGTGCTCATCAAGACGCTCTGTGCCCTGGGTGTCCCCGATCCCTGTATCCCTATATCCCTGATCCCTGTTTCCCTGATCCCTGTATCCCTGATCCCTGTATCTCTGTATCCCTATATCCCTGATCCCTGTTTCCCTGATCCCTGTATCCCTGTATCCCTGATCCCTGTATCCCTGTATCCCTGATCCCTGTATCCCTGATCCCTGTATCCCTGTATCCCTGTATCCCTGATCCCTGTATCCCTGATCCCTGTATCCCTGTATCCCTGTATCCCTGATCCCTGTATCCCTGTATCCCTGATCCCTGTGTCCCTGTATCCCTGTATCCCTGATCCCTGTATCCCTGGGATATCCCTGATCCCTGTATCCCTGTTCCAGGTGCTGATCGAGACACTCTGTGCCCTGGGTGCCCCTGTATCCCTGTATCCCTGATCCCTGTATCCGTGATCCCTGATCCCTGTATCCCTGTATCCCTGTCTCCCTGTATCCCTGATCCCTGTCTCCCTGTCTCCCTGTATCCCTGATCCCTGTATCCCTGTATCCCTGTATCCCTGTATCCCTGTCTCCCTGTATCCCTGTATCCCTGATCCCTGTATCCCTGGGATATCCCTGATCCCTGTGTCCCTCTCCAGGTGCTGATCGAGACACTCTGTGCCCTGGGTGCCCCTGTATCCCTGTATCCCTGTATCCCTGATCCCTGTATCCCTGATCCCTGATCCCTGTATCCCTGTATCCCTGTATCCCTGGGATATCCCTGTATCCCTGGGATATCCCTGATCCCTGTCTCCCTGTTCCAGGTGCTCATAGAGACACTCTGTGCCCTGGGTGCCCCTGTATCCCTGTATCCCTGTATCCCTGATCCCTGTATCCCTGATCCCTGTATCCCTGTATCCCTGTATCCCTGATCCCTGTATCCCTGGGATATCCCTGATCCCTGTATCCCTGTGTCCCTGATCCCTGTATCCCTGGGATATCCCTGATCCCTGTGTCCCTCTCCAGGTGCTGATCGAGACACTCTGTGCCCTGGGTGCCCAGTGCCGCTGGGCCGCCTGTAACATTTACTCCACACAGAACGAGGTGGCTGCTGCCCTGGCAGAGGCTGGTGAGTGATGGGAGCTGCTTTAGGGGATCATTTTTAGGGAATTTCCTATTTATGGTTTTTAATTTTATATTTATTTATCTAATTTATTTTGGGTTTTTTATTTTTATTTATGCCTAGCTTATTTTATTTTTTATTTTATTTTTTATTTTTTATAAAATATTTTATTTTTATTATTTGTCTTAATTGTGTGTATTTTATCTATTTGTTTAAATTAATTTTTATTTATTTTAATCTTATTTTAGCTATTTACTTATCATTATTTATTTATAATTTATTTTAATTTATATTAATAATTTATTTATTATTTTAATCGTTATTTTATTAATACTTTCTTTTTATATTTATCTATTTTAATAATATTTTATTTATTATTATTTTAATAGTATCTTATTTATTATTATTGTAATGAAAATTTATTTATTTTATTTTTATTTAATTATTACCTATCATTTATTTTAATTTTTATTTGTTAATTTTAATACTATTTTACTTATTTATTTTTACTCAATTTATGTTTATCCTCATAATTATTTTTAACAGTATTTTTTTAGTTTTATGCATTTATTCTCATTTTTTTAATCTTATTTTTTATTTATTTATTATTTAATCTTTATTTATTTTAATCTCATTTATTTTATAATTTTTTTTTCTCATTTCATATTTATCTTTTAGGGAATTACTATTTTCAGGGAGTATCTTTTCGGGAGGGATGGGCAGGTGTACCCCTGTCCTTGGCTGTGCTGTGACCCTGGCACAGCTCTTGCCCCCGTGTCCGTGTTTTCCCGGAGCTGGCGGAGCAGGACAGAGCTCTGCCAGGCCCAGGAGGTGCCAGGATGCTCCTGTTCTTCCAGGGGTGGCCGTGTTTGCCTGGAAAGGGGAGTCGGAGGATGATTTCTGGTGGTGCATCGACCGCTGTGTCAACGTGGACGGCTGGCAGCCCAACATGGTGAGGCTCCTCCTGCTCCTGCTCCTGCTCCTGCTCCTGCCATTCCCGCTCTCCTGGGGCTGTCCTGCCATCCCGGGGGGCTTCCAGTCAGCTGGAGAACCACAGCTGGAGCTGGGTTGGGAGCGGCCATGGGAGCATTGGGAGCTGCCAAGGCAACGTTCAGGCTTGGGAACAGCTCCTGGTGGAGCTGCAGGGACAATGTCCTGGGCTGGGAACAGCTCCTGGTGGAGCTGCAGGGACAATGTCCTGGGCTGGGAACAGCTCCTGGTGGAGCTGCAGGGACAATGTCCTGGGCTGGGAGCAGCTCCTGGTGGAGCTGCAGGGACAATGTCCTGGGCTGGGAACAGCTCCTGGTGGAGCTGCAGGAACAATGTCCTGGGCTGGCACGTCTCAAAGGCACAGGATCAGCTCCTGATGGGGCTGCAGAGACATTGGCACATCCCAATGACATGGGAACAGCTCCTAATGGAGCTGCAGGGATGATGCCCTGGGCTGGCACATCCCAGTGACATGGGAACAGCTCCTGGTGGAGCTGCAGGGATGATGCCCTGGGCTGGCACATCCCAATGACATGGGAACAGCTCCTAATGGAGCTGCAGAGACATTGGCACATCCCAATGACATGGGAACAGCTCCTAATGGAGCTGCAGAGACATTGGCACATCCCAGGACATGGGAACAGCTCCTAATGGAGCTGAAGGGATGATTCCCTGGGCTGGCACATCCCAGGACATGGGAACAGCTCCTGATGGAGCTGCAGGGATGATTCCCTGGGCTGGCACATCCCAGGACATGGGAACAGCTCCTGATGGAGCTGCTGTGAGCCAAGAAACACGGGACCTCTTTCCCGCTGTGGGAGCTCTCCCAGCTGCTCAGATCCCACCCCTCTCTCCCAGAGTCGGGATGTCTCCCTTGCTGGGCCGATGTCCCCCCGGTCATGGGCCGTGGTCCCCAGGCCATGTCCGTGTCCGTGCAGCTCCCGCAGCCTCTCCTCTCCCGTTTGCTTCCAGGATGGATGTTGTGCCGTGCTGAGCTCAGCCGGGTTAGTTAGTGCTGCCTGTGCTCACATGTCCAGGCTGCAGAGCAGTAGGAGAGGCAGGAAATCCCGTTGGGATCCCGCAGCTCCTCGCAGGGGTAAGGAACCCTCCGTGCTGGGAGGAGACCCCGAGTTGCAGGCAGGAGTCCTGGCCCTCCGGCAGTGCCTCAAGACGTTCTCCACCTCTTTTCCCCCATCCTGTCCCCAGCCAGTGCTTTTCCCGATGGGAGGCCTGACTGCTCTGTGTTTTTCCCAGATCCTGGACGATGGTGGGGACCTGACCCACTGGGTTTATAAGAAATATCCCAGCGTGTTCAAGAAGATCCGAGGGATCGTGGAGGAGAGCGTGACTGGCGTGCACAGGTGGGGAATTTGGGAATGCTGATCCTTAGGGACATCCCTCAGGGATTGCTGCCGCCTGCCCTGACCTGCCTGTGCCCTCTGCCAGGCTGTACCAGCTCTCCAAGGCTGGGAAGTTGTGTGTCCCAGCCATGAACGTGAACGACTCCGTCACCAAGCAGAAGTTCGACAACCTGTACTGCTGCCGGGAATCCATCCTGGATGGGTGAGTCCGGCTGCCCCTCCTGGCTCTTCCCACGGGTGGGTTTGGCTCCGGCTCCTCCTGAGTGGGGCTCAGACTCTGCTGTGCCCTGCAGGGCCTGGTTCTGGGGGGTGGCTCATCCCAACACGGGTCTCTCTCTGTCCCCCAGCCTGAAGAGGACCACGGATGTGATGTTTGGAGGGAAGCAGGTGGTGGTTTGTGGTTATGGGGAGGTGAGTTCCGTGAGCTGTGCTGGCCTCCCCTGAGCCCAGCACCCGCCACTTCCCTCTGCCAAGAGCCCTTGTCCCTGCCAGAAGGAGCGGATCCGACCTGGGGAGTGATTACCAGGGAAATCTCACAGAGATCAGGGCTCAGGTTTCCCAGTTTGCTGCAGATTAGCTGGGCTGCACAGCTGACACTGCTGGGAACACTGGCCTGAGCCACAGCTCCCCACGGGGCTCCATCTGCTGTCCCTGGCCCCAGTTCAGCTCCAGCCTGGCTCTCACCAAGCAGGGACAGGCTGCAGCTTCCTGGGAGTAATGTTCTGGCAGAGGGGGATCATCTCACAGGCTTGTCACCGATTCTGCCCTGGAACTGCAGGGAGCTGCCACCTTCCCTCCATCTGTGCATGTCTGTGTGGGTGTTTGTCCTCCCACACTGAGCGGGGCCTGGCAGGAGCTGCAAAGGCTCTTCCCAGCAGGAATTCGCTCCCTGATTTATTCAGGCACCAGTGGAGCCCAGCTCTGCCCCACCAAGGCTCTCATCCAGGGCTCTGGGCCGGCCTCTGGGGGTTGTGCTGGGAGTCGTTGTCTCCAGGGCCTGTCCTGAGTTTTACTGGACTTCTTCAAAGCAAGGGAGTCGTAGAACCATGGAATCCTGGAATGGTTTGGGTTGGAAGGGACCTTAGAGCTCACCTTGTGAGCCACAGGCACGGACAGCTTCCACTATCCCAGATTGCTCCAAGCCCTGTCCAACCTGGCCTTGGACACTTCCAGGGATGGGGCAGCCACAGCTTCTCTGGGAATTCCATCCCAGCCCCGCACCACCCTCCCAGGGAAGAATTCCTTCCCAATATCCCATCCATCCCTGCCCTCTGGCAGTGGGAAGCCATTCCCTGTGTCCTGTCCCTCCATCCCTTGTCCCCAGTCCCTCTCCAGCTCTCCTGGAGCCCCTTTAGGCCCTGGAAGGGGCTCCAAGGTGTTCCTGGAGCCTTCTTTTCTCCAGGGGAATATTCCCAGTTCTCCCAGCCTGAGTCCAGAGCAGAGGGGCTCCAGAGTCATGGAATCCCAGGATTTTTTGGGTGGGAAGGGACCTTAAAGCTCATCCACTTCTACCTCCTGCCCTGGGCAGGGACACCTTCCACTATCCCAGGTTTCTCCAAGCCCCATCCAACCTGGCCTTGGACACTTACAGGGATGGGGCATCCTCTGGAAAATCCATCCCAGCCCCTCCCAGGGAGAAATTCCCTGCTGATATCCCATCTAACCCTGCCCTCTGGCAGTGGGAAGCTGGGAACCTTGAAGGGGGGAGCTGGGCTTGTGTCAGCTGTGCCACTCTCCAGGTACATCCTGAGCTGCCCCTGGCACCAGGCAGATGGTTGGGATGAGGATGCCCCAGCCTGGGATGGGTCAGGAAGGGGTCGTGGCCCTGCTGTGCCCCCCTCACGCTGCTCTCTGCAGGTGGGGAAGGGCTGCTGTGCTGCCCTCAAGGCCCTGGGGGCCATCGTGTACGTCACCGAGATCGACCCCATCTGCGCCCTCCAGGCCTGGTAAGGTGTTCCCTGCTGCCTGGCAGCGTCTCTCCACCTGCTCTTCAGCCCCTTCCAAACCCTTCCCAGAGGCTGGAACAGAGCCAGGATGACCTGAGGGTCATTTTGGGGAATAAACCCTTTGTTGGGGTGTGACGGGGTGGATTTCAGGGCGCGGGTCCCACACAGAAGGTGTTCCCTGGCTGGCCTGGGGAGGCTGCTCCTTTGGAAATAAAAGGTATTTCCAACGTATGAAACACTGGAATCAAGAGTGGGAAATATTTCCATAGTTGGTTGTTTTGGTAGAAGCTGTTGAGGGGTGTGAGGTGTGTGGAGGAGGTTGGACAGCCATTGCACAGCCCTTCCTCACGCATCCACTGCCCTGGGGGGGTGGAGGATTCCCTGGCTGGGCAGGAGCAGTTTGGAGCTGCTGGGTTCCCTCCTGGCCTGGGGTGGGGAGGGAACAGGCTTCTCCTGCTCGTTGTGATCCCTCTCTCCCTGTTTGTTCCAGCATGGATGGATTTCGGGTGGTGAAGCTGAGCGAAGTGATCCGGCAGGTGGATGTGGTCATCACCTGCACAGGTAGGGCTGGAGGAGGCTGGAGCAGTCATTCCCAAGGCAACTCCCAAGGACACTTTGCTGCTGTGTGCTCCTTATTTTCCAGGAGCAGTAGCTGGACTTTGGAGAGAGCTTTTCCTCCTCCTCCCCCCTCTGATATTTGGCCACAGTCCCATGTCCCGGGGCGGAGGGACATCCCAGTGTCCTGAGGGGATTTGGGGGTCTCCTGGTTAATTCACGGGACAAAAGATCAAAGATTTGGGGTCTGCAGCTCCAATCTCTGCTCTGGGTGAGCAGGGACAGGACCCAGGGAATGGCTGGAGCTGTGTCAGGGCAGGGTCAGGTTGGATCTCAGGAAAAGGTTCTTCCCCCCCAGGGTGGTTGGCACTGCCCAGGCTCCCCAGGGCAGTGGGCACAGCCCCAAGGCTGCCAGAGCTCCAGGAGGGTTTGGATAACACTCTGAGGGACAGGGTGGGATTTTGGGGTGTCCTGGGCAGGGCCAGAGGTTGCTGATCCTTGCGGGTCCCTCCCAGCTCAGGACATCCCATGACAGCACTTGTCCCACAGGTTTCTCCGCTGTCCCGACCAGGAGGAGCCTCGTCCTGGTGGGAAGTTCATCAGATGTTGCCCCAAGCTGAGCTTCTCCAGCTGGAGTTCAGGGAATGAGAACCCAGGGGGTTTGTTTTTGCTGTTCCTGCAGGGAACAAGAACGTGGTGACGCGGGAGCACCTGGACCGGATGAAGAACAGCTGCATCGTCTGCAACATGGGCCACTCCAACACCGAGATCGACGTGGTGAGTTCAGCCCCGCGGGCTGTCCCACCCCGCTCCTCCTCCCGTGGCTCCAGCTCTCCCTCCTCCTCTTGCAGACCAGCCTGAGGACCCCCGAGCTGACCTGGGAGCGGGTGCGTTCCCAGGTGGATCACGTCATCTGGCCCGATGGGAAGCGGGTGGTGCTGCTGGCTGAGGTGTGTGGGGAGCTGGGCCACAGTTCCTGGTGGGAAATCATGGGTTTATCCAGGTGGAAAAGCACTGGGAGGAGCTTCAGGGCTCAGAAAAGGGTTTATTATTGTATTTATTATTTTTTATTTATTATTTTTTCTGTCCTTTTCTTGAGGCGGGGGGGTGTGTCCTGTCCCACACGCACCCACAGCTGGGTCTGTCAGACCCCTCAGCCAAACCCACCTGCTCCAGCTGTGCCAGGGATTCCCAGGCAGGAATCTGGCTCCTCTTCCCACTGGAGCTGCTCTGGCAGGAGGGAGGGACTGGCTTTTCCAGGGACCACAACACTCCCCAGCCTTGAAGCTCAGGGTTGGGGTGGGAGCTGGGACACAATTGGGATGCTCTGGGCACAAAAGTGGCTCTCGGGAGGGGGTGGAGGTGAATCCCACCTGGAATGTCGACTGGGTTTGGATTTGGGGTGACTCCTGCTCTCCCCCAGGGCCGGCTGCTGAACCTGAGCTGCTCCACAGTTCCCACCTTTGTCCTCTCCATCACAGCCACCACTCAGGTCTGTACCCAGGAGGGGCCTCGGGGGTGAAGATGCTTTGGGAGCACCCTGGGGTGGGGCCTTGGAATACCACAGGAACCACCTCTTCCCTGGGGTGCATTAATGGTGGTGGGAACTTGGTGTTTTGGGTGCAGGAAGTTTTGGGAGAGCATTGAAATGGCGCAGATTTTGAATGACACAGATCTCCCACTGGGCTGGGAGATGGGCTTGAGCCCCTCGAGCACAAGTTTAGGCCCCCCAGCACGGGTTTCAGCCCCCTTAACTCAGATTTCAGCCCCTAAAGCACAGGTTAAGCCCCCCAGTACAGATTTAAGCTCCCCAGCAGAGGTTTAAACTCCCCCAGCTGAGGTTTAAGCCCCCTAGAACAGGTTTAGGGCTTACCTCAAAGCAAGGCTGGTGGGACTGGGAACATGGAGGGAACTGGTGGGACTGGAGGACACTGGTAGGATGGGGATCATGGGGAAACTGGTGGGGTTGGGAACAGGGAGGGGATTGGTAGGACTGGGAACAAGGAGGAGATTGATGGGGTTGGGAACTTGGACACTGGTGGGGCTGGGAACATGCAGGGACTGGCAATCCCCCCCTTCCCTCGTGGCACAGCAGCTCTCAGAGGTTTAAGAGAGGCAGAGCTGCTCCATTGTCCTCCATCCTCATGTTTTTCCATGGGGTTTTTCCCAGCTGCTACAAACAGCTCGTCATCCCCTCATCCCTGACCCTGACCCCCTTCCCAGAGGGATTCTGGACATGCCCTGAGCTGGGAGCCTTTCCCTCAGGGCACCTTGGGAATGGTTGTGCCCTCCCTGTGGCTCCCAAATCCTTGTCACTGTCCCTGTGCTGCCGTGGCTGGTGGCCATCCCTGGGCATTCCTGGGCTGTCCCTGAGCATTCCCAAATTTTATCCCTGTGCTCTCCACAGGCTCTGGCTCTGATTGAGCTCTACAATGCTCCCGAGGGCCGCTACAAGCAGGACGTTTACCTGCTGCCCAAGAAGATGGGTGAGTGAAGAATTCCTTAGGAATTCTGTGCGCCAGCTGTGTGAGATGTCAGGAAAAAACTCACCCCAGGGCTGGGAAACACTTCCAGAGGGAGAAGGAGTTCAGGGAAACCAGCAGAGGCAGCAACTTCGAAATGAGTGGGGGTGGTTTGATTTATTTCCCTCGGTGTCCCGCAGCGTGGGAGGCATCCCCTCTCCTTATGCTCCCTTCCCCAGGGTTTCTCCAGGGTTTTCCATGCCATCCTGGTGCCTTTGGGGGCACATCCAGCCCAGGCTTGGGCTCAGCTCTGCTCCAGGTGTTGGGTTGTGGTGACTCCGGGGGGGTGATGGTGATGGTGGTGATGGTGACTCCCCCCCTCAGCTCCCTGGGGTGTGAGGGGGCTGTGGGTCCCCCTGATCCCGTTTTCCCTGCCCCATTCCCAGATGAGTACGTGGCCAGCCTGCACCTGCCCTCGTTCGACGCCCACCTGACGGAGCTCACGGACGACCAGGCCAAGTACCTGGGGCTCAACAAGAACGGGCCCTTCAAACCCAACTACTACAGGTGAGGGCTGGGAGCACCTCCAAACCCACAGGGACAGGCCTTTGGAATGTGCCTCCAGCAGCAGAAGGATGTGGAGCTGCTGGAGTGAATCCAGAGAGCCCACGGAGATGCTCCGAGGGCTGGAGAACCTTTGATTTGGAGGCTGGGAGAGCTGGGAGTGCTCAGCCTGGAGAAGGGAAGGCTCCAGGGAGACCTGAGAGCCCCTTCCAGGGCCTAAAGGGGCTCCAGGAGAGCTGGAGAGGGACTGGGGACAAGGGATGGAGGGACAGGACCCAGGGAATGGCTTCCCACTGAATACTGGGGAGGAATTCTTCCCTGTGAGGGTGGTGTGGGGCTGGGATGGAATTCCCAGAGAAGCTGTGGCTGCCCCATGCCTGGAAGCGTCCAAGGCCACGCTGGAGCAACCTGGGATAGTGGAAGGTGTCCCTACCCGTGGCAGGGGTGGGATGGGATGAGCTTTAAGGTCCCTCCCCACCCAAACCAGTCTGGAATTCCATGATTTGGGATCCCCTGGTGCTGGCACAGCCTCAGCTCCCAGGATCTGTGTTCCAGCCCTCACTGTGCCCCTTCTCTCCTAGATACTGATGGACCATTCCCAGAAGGACCAGACCACACAAGGCAACATTCGAGAGATTATTTTTAAAAATCATTTTTATTTTGGTTTACCTTTTTTTTTATTGTTCCTTTCCCCCCCTTCCCCCGAAGCCATTTTTCCTGTTTTTACATTTCTCTGTGGTTTCAAGGCCAGGATTTCTTTTCCTCCCCCTTTCCCACCATCACATCTCAGTCTGACCTGACCAGACAAACCTGGCATTTGCTTCTTGCTTCCATGTGCTGAAGCCTGTGATTCCCAGCCCTGGCTTTGGGAGAGGTTTTCCCTTTCCTGCTGTTCCCAGGGCACTTCATTCCCGCAGCAATGGGTTTGTTTTGCTTTCCTTTGGTGTTTTTTCCCACCCTGGTCTCCCTGCGGATCCGGAGATGCTCCGTTTTCCTTCTCTTCTCTTTTCTTTCTTTGTGTGGAATTTCTGCAACTTCTAAATTGCCTTAAAGAGCCCAGTTTTAGCTGCTAGATCCCTGCTCCGGGCGCTTCCCGGGAGCAGAGCGGAGCCTGCAGGACGCCTGGAATGGGGTGGGGGGTCCCCAGGCCCCTGTGCCGACGTGGCCCGGCTTTGGTGGCCACTGACCCGGCTTTAGTGGCCACCTGGGCCTGGGGGGGAGTTTTTTCAGGGTGCTAATCTTGAATCCGGATGGGGGTCGCTTTTCCCAGCATTATCCTCATCTCTCCCAGGTTTTTTTTTTTGTGGTTTTTTTTTTTAGCCAAACTGCACCTTAATTGAGTTTTAAACCATTTTTTTCTTTGTTTAGTTGTTTTTTTTCTTCCTCTTTTCCTTCTCAGTCCTTCCAGAGCTGTTTTCAAGAGTGGGGATGTTCCAAGGGGATGTCTGAGGGATGTTTCCCAGGATGTGGCTGCTTTCCTGTCTCCCAATGGGAAGCACCGGGTGAGGGGGGGGGGGGTGTTCAGGGGGCCTGGGGTTTTTTTGGGGGGTATTTCCCTAATTTTTTTTCCAGCTGGATGCAGAGATGAGCCTTCCCCACACCCTGGGCCCTCTGCTCCCTGTCCCGGCCCTCCCAGCTCTCCCCTAGCTGTTTTCCAGCCTCTTTCCCAAGTGTTTTCCAGTCCCTTTCCCGTGTGTTTTCCAGCCCCTCCCTCACCCCACCCCCGCTGACATTTCCCTTCCCCATTCCCGCAGCTTTTCCTGGGGGTGGGAGACGCTCCTTCCAAGCCCGGGAGGTTTCTCTTGGCTCTGTTTCTCCTCCCCAAACCACCTCTGTCCTTGCCCCAGTGCTGGGGAGGGCGGGAACAGCCCCAATTCCGGCATCTCCCGGTACAGGGATCATGGAGATGCTGCGGAACCCGGGATTGGAGCTGCTCCTTCCCCCAGCCCCGGGATCCCCCTGGGAATTTGCGGGGCTGTGGGGGACAGGAGGGGGGTGGGAGAGGTGCTGGTGGATCACCCCCCTCTCATCCCCTTCCCACCCTGCCTGGTTTCCTCCTGGAATGTTGCTGAGTCGCTCCACAGATTTTGGGGATCACCCGCCTTGCCTTCCCTGTAGATTTTGGGGATCACATTCCCCTCCACCCCCCCCCAAACCTCACTGGGAGGGCTCAGCGAGCCGGGACGGCGTCTGTGATGATGGACTGGGAGCAGGAGCATCCCCCCTTTCCCAGGAGCCAGGATTCTCCCCCATTTGGGAATCCTGGCCCCCCCTTTTCCCACCCTTTTGGGGCGCAAGGGCTCCGTGTCTGGACAAGCCATGGCAGGGGGGGCCTGGGGGCAGCAGCAGGGAGAGGTTTATTTTGTATATGAATGATTTTTAATGAATGCAATATTAATCCTCGCAGATGAGCAATAAATCATTAAATCTAATTAAACTATTAGGAAAAGCCGAGCACTCGTGGTTCCGGAAGGTTTATTTGGTGTCGTGGGGGGACCCTGAGCTGTGTCTGAGTAGGGAATGAGACCCGCCTTTGGCCACCTCCAGATGGATTTTGGGTCCCCAACAGAATTCCCTGAGCGCCCTTAGAACCGTGGAATTTTGGGGTCTCACCCCCTCTGGGCACTTTCACTTGGGCTTTAGACACCATCTGGGTCCCCTCTGAGCACTGCCAGGCGCCCCCTCTTTGGGGTCTGAGCCCCCCAAGCTCTTTGATTTGAGAATTCCCTCGTTCCAGGCCCGTAAATTTGGGATCTGCCCCCCCCGCCCCTCCCAACATGGCGGCCTCCAGTGGCCGGGGGCACGTGGGGCGGAAGTGCCGCTCCCAACATGGCGGCGCCCAGTGCCGCGCCACACTCAGTATGGTGGCGCGGGGGCGGAGCCCCGTTTGCCCCGGTCGCCGCGCCGCCCGCGGCCAGCAGGGGCGGGCAGGGCCAGGCTGTGACGCGGCGGCCTCGGCGGGGCGGCGAGAGCGGCGGCGGAGCCCCATCGCACCCACCGGACGCACCGAGCGCCCCGCGGCGCCACTCCCAACATGGCGGCGGCGCTGCCCCGGCTGTCGCTGCCGCTCCCGCGAGAGGAGGGGGTGAGTCCTCGCGAGAGCTGGCGGCGGAGCGGCCGCCATGGAGGCGGGCGGCGGCCCCGGGCCGGGCCCGGCAGCGGCACCGGGCAACAACAACAACAGGGGCCGCGGCGGGGCGGCCGCGCCCGCCAGGGGCCGGGACATGGCCCGGCCGCCCAGGAAGGACTCCGAGGTCAGCGGGGAGGCACTGCCCGTGCGGGGCGGGCCGCGCCGGGGCTCGGCGGGGCCTGCCCGGCCGTGCCGGTGGCTGAGGGGGTGTCGGTGCCCGCGGTGCCGGTGTGTCCGTGCCCGGGGTACCGGTGTGTCCGTGCCCGGGGTACCGGTGTGTCCGTGCCCGGAGTACCCGGTGTGTCCGTGCCCGGGGTACCGGTGTGTCCGTGCCCGGGGTACCGGTGTGTCCGTGCCCGGTGCCTGGCGGTGCCGGCTGTCGGTGTGTCCGGTGCCTGGCGGTGCCGGCTGTCTGTGGGTGCCGGTGCCCGTGCCCGGGCGGTGTTTCCAGCCCCGCCTTCCTCCGGGTCAGCCCCGGACCGGCCGTTGTCCCGAAACCGGCTCCGGTACCGATTCCCAGGGGCGGTCCCGGTTCCCCCCGAGCCGCGGTGGCAGCGGAGCCGGAGCCCGGGGTCGGTGCCGGTTCCCGTCCATTCCGCCCATCCCTCCCTCCCCCAGCCCCGGGCCGGTGTGACCGGGGTGGAGCCCGGGGCTGGCTCGGCCCCAGGACCCCAGTCGGGGCTCTCCCGGCCCGGCCCGGGGCTCTCCCGGTGTTCCCGGCCCGGAGGGCTGTGGGGTCCCGTTTCCATGTTCAGAGCAGGGGTGGTTCCGGGAAGAGGGACCCGACCCCCCAAGGGCACGGCGGGGTCCCGGGGTGTCCCCCCTGAGCCGGGGGGGCAGGGGGAGGGTGTGGAGCCGAAGGGGCTTTTCGCGAGTGTTTCATTCCTGTGATGGCCCCAGAGCCACCTGCTCCCGTGGATGGGGGCTGGCAGCCCTGGAATGGACTGGGGGGAGCTCCCAGTGCAGAGCCAGCCCCTCTCTCAGGGTCCCAGGGTTTGGGAGGGGGCTGGGGTGGGGCTGGGTGCCCCCCAGATTTGGGAGGGATCTGCTCTGGGTCTGCCCCTCGCTCAGAGTGGGTGCCCCAAAATCCTGCTGTGGATCTGTTTCCCCCTCAGGGGTGGATGCCCCAAAATTCAGGAGGTTTTGCTGTGGATCTGCCCCCTCCCTCAGGAGTGGGTGCCCCGAAATTTGGGAGGGTTTTGCTGTGGGTCTGGGTGCCCCGAAATTCAGCAGACTTCTGCCCCACTCAGGGATGGATTCCCTGAAATTCCGTGGGTCCCTCCCTAAAGGGAGCTGATATTTTGTGTCTAGAGCTTCTCCTGAGTGGTTTTCCCGCCTCTCCGAAGTGTTTGGAACAGTTCCATCCTCACTAATCCTGCTGACACCTCCTCCCTGCGATGGCACGGGGGGAGGGGGGGGGGGAGGGCGGGGATAGCCCAAATTTTTCCAATTCTGTGTGAAATGTGGGAGCTCTGAGAGCCCCCTAATCCCACAGAATTTCCTCCCCATCTCCTGCCGTGTTTGCTGTGCTGTGGGGGCTCCCCCAGTGTTTTGGGGGTGTTGGAGGGTGTTCTGGGGGTGCTGCAGTGGCTCCAGCCGGGCAGTCCCTGCGGCACATCCTGGATGGAGCCGCAGGAGGTGGGTTGGAGTTGCCTCGGTAACGTTCGTGCTGCCGCAGGGACATTCCTGGTCCCTAAACCAGGAAAAACAGCCCTGGCTTTGCAGGAGGACGAGGTGAATTGTGGCTGTTTGCAGGGATTTGGGGTTTTCCTGGGACGTGCTGGAATTGAACTGATTTTCCCGTTTTTTTTCAGGGCTATTCGGAGTCTCCAGACCTGGAGTTTGAATATGCAGACACGGATAAATGGGCAGCAGAGCTGTCAGGTGAGGAATTCTTGGGACACATCAATTAACCAGTGACTTCCTCTGCTGGGACAATTAAAGGAGCTCTCTCAGCTCCATCATTATCCTTAAAAACCTGATGGATGTTAAAAGGGAAGGGATCCATTTAGTGAATGTTGTCAGCCTTATGTTGGGTGGGGTTTTTGGGGAATTTTGAGTTTTTGGGCTAAAAGTGCAGTTCCCAAGTTGCAGCTCTGCAGGTTTTTGGAGCTTCCCCTCTCTTGGCAGAGCTTTACAGCTACACAGAGGGGCCTGAATTCCTGCTCAACCGAAAGTGCTTCGAGGAGGACTTCAGGATCCACAGTAAGAGCTTTTCCATGGATCTGTCACCCCCTGGGGAGGGACAGGGATCTCTCTTCCTGGAGAAGAGGAGCCTGAGGGCAGAGCTCATTGGGATCTGCAGCTTCCTGGGATGGGCAGCTCCGATTCTGCTCTGGGTGAGCAGGGACAGCACCCAGGGAATGGCTGGAGCTGTGCCAGGGCAGGCTCAGGTTGGATCTCAGGCAAAGCTTCTTCCCCCAGAGGCTGGTTGGGCACTGCCCAGGCTCCCCAGGGAATGGGCACAGCCCCAAGGCTGCCAGAGCTCAGGGAGGGTTTGGACAACGCTCTGAGGGACAGGGTGGGATTGTTGGGGCATCCTGGGCAGTTGGACTGATGATCCCTGTGGATATTCCCTGAGCCCGTGACTCATCTGGGAGGTGGAAGAATCCCTCTGTCCATCACATCCCTGGGTGTCCATTGCTCCCAGCAGCACCGTGTTCCTGTGGTGCTGGATCCCTGGAGCATGTCCCATTCCCTCATCCAGCTGTTGCAGTTTTCCCATGGTGCTGGATCCCTTGGGTGTGTCCATGAGTGTCCATGAGTGTGTCCCATTCCCTCATCCCACTGCTGTGCTTTCCCATGGTGCTGGATCCTTGGGTGTGTCCATGGGTGTCCCATTCCCTCATCCCACTGCTGTGCTTTCCCATGGTGCTGGATCCCTTGGGTGTGTCCGTGGGTGTGTCCCATCCCCAATCCCACTGTTGCGGTTTTCCTGTGGTGCTGGATCCCTGGAGCATGTCCCATCCTCTCATCCCACTGCTGTGCTTTCCCATGGTGCTGGATCCCTTGGGTGTGTCCATGAGTGTCCATGAGTGTGTCCCCTTCCCTCATCCCACTGTTGCAGTTTTCCTGTGGTGCTGGATCCCTTGGGCGTGTCCGTGGGTGTGTCCCATCCCCTCATCCCACTGTTGGCTCTCCCACGGTGCTGGATCCCATTCCCTGCTCCGATGCCGGCCGTGGTTCTGGGGGTGTCGCGGTTTCCCGTGGTGCTGGATCCCATTCCCTGCTCAGATCCGTGGTTCTGGGGGTGTCGCGGTTTCCCGTGGTGCTGGATCCCATTCCCTGCCCCGATGCCGGCCGTGGTTCTGGGGGTGTCGCAGTGTCCCGTGGTGCTGGATCCCATTCCCTGCTCAGATCCGTGGTTCTGGGGATGTTTTGGGTTTCCCGTGGTGCTGGATCCCATTCCCTGCTCAGATCCGTGGTTCTGGGGGTGTCGGGTTTCCCGTGGTGCTGGATCCCATTCCCTGCTCCGATGCCGGCCGTGGTTCTGGGGGTGTCGGGTTTCCCGTGGTGCTGGATCCCATTCCCTGCTCAGATCCGTGGTTCTGGGGATGTTTTGGGTTTCCCGTGGTGCTGGATCCCATTCCCTGCTCAGATCCGTGGTTCTGGGGATGTTTTGGGTTTCCCGTGGTGCTGGATCCCATTCCCTGCTCAGATCCGTGGTTCTGGGGATGTTTTGGGTTTCCCGTGGTGCTGGATCCCATTCCCTGCTCCGATGCCGGCCGTGGTTCTGGGGATGTTTTGGGTTTCCCGTGGTGCTGGATCCCATTCCCTGCCCCGATGCCGGCCGTGGTTCTGGGGGTGTCGCGGTTTCCCGTGGTGCCGGAGCCCCGGGCCGTGTCCCTGAGCCCGTGCCCGTGTCCCGCAGTGCCGGAGCGGCGCTGGCCGGAGCTGGAGCGGGCCCAGCACCGCACCCACGCCATGCGGCTGCTGGACGGGCTGGAGGTGACGGCGCGGGAGCGGCGCCTGCGCGTGGCTCGGGCCATCCTCTACGTGGCACAAGGTGACACCGCGGCCGGGGGGGGGGACAGGGGGGGTTCTGGGGAGGGGTTAGGGGTGGGTTCGGAGCATGGATCTGTGGGGTTGGTCCGTGGAGTTCCAGTAAAATGTATTAGATAGATGAAATATAGGAGTAATTTGTTTATGTGAGCTACGTGTTTATATAACATATATTATATAGAGTATACAGATGTAATATGTTATATAACATATAATATATTACCTATAATATAGAGATGTAATATTTTATATAACATAATATATAACATATAATATATAATATAGAGATGTAATATTTTATATAATATATAATATATAACATATATAATATAGAGATGTAATATTTTATATAACATAATATATTACATATAATATAGAGATGTAATATTTTATATAACAAAATATATTACATATAATATAGAGATATAATATTTTATATAACATATAATATATAATATAGAGATGTAATATTTTATATAACATATTATATATAGTATACAGATGTAATATTTTATATAACATATAATATATTACATGTAATATAGAGATGTAATATAGATTATGTGTTATGTAATAAATTATGTATGTTGTATATTATATATAGTATATAATAGATATTGTTACTATATATAAATTATATAATGTTATACAGTTATATAAGGAAATATATAATATATATAATTTATACACAAATCTAATTTATAAAAGCTATATATTCATATAATATGTTACATATAATATATAACATATATGTAATATAGATTATATTGTATAATTATTATATATATATCATATATCTAATATATATTATAATATATTAGATACATTTTATTATATAATATATATTTATTGTATATATAATATATATTATATAATTATACATATAGTATATAATATATATTATATATATTATATATCGTATGATGTATAATATATATAATATATATTATATATCGTATATCATATATAATATAATATATTATATATAATATATTGTACAATTATATATAAAATATATAATATAATATATATAATATAGTATATTATATATTATTTAATAAATTATATATGTTGTATATTACATATAATATATAATAGATGTTATTACTATATATAACTTGTACAATCTAATTATATAATAAATTATATAATAAGTTATATAATATATAATATATATGCTACTTATACTATTATATACTATATAGATATAATTTATATAGTATATATGCATATACATATATGTAATTTTTATAAGCTATATATTCATATAACATATATTACATATAATAATATAGTATACAACATATATGTAATATAGATTATATTATGTATTATTTAATAAATTAAATAGTGTATGTTATATATATATAGCATATGATATATATTATATGTTATTACTATATGTGTTATGTAATATGTATATATAAAAATTATAGAATATATAGGTGTATATATATATAAACTACATTAATTATGTGTACTTTATGTTATATGTAGTATATATTATGTGTTCCTATATATTATATATAATATATGTTATTACTATATATAGTAATATATGTGCTATACTAGATATGTACAAATATGTATTATATAATTATTGCACAAATATACAATTATATGTTGTATATATTATATGTTATATACATTATATATGGATAAATATAGTATATTATATATACTCTGACAGTATATATTTATATAATCTATATATATGTAACATATTATAAAATATATAATATATGATATATAGTTTGTAAAATTAATGTGTTTATATAATATATGTTTTATGTGATATAGTATATGTTGTAATATATAATATTATATATTACATCTTATATATTATATAACATATCAGTATGTAATACAATTAATGTACAATATTAATTTAGTGTAACAATTAATAATCATTCTAATGTACCATATTTGAAGTAATTTCCATTCCCTGTGGGTTTCACCCCCCGGGATGTCCGGGACGAGCTGATCCTCCCGGGCCCAGCCCCTTTGGAGCAGTTTGTCCCAGACCTGCCCCGTGTCCCTGTGGGCTGTGCTCCCGTGGGGCAGTTCCACGCTGGGCTTCCCACCTTCCCTCCATCCCATGCTTCCCACCTTCCCTCCATCCCGTGCTTCCCACCTTCCCTCCATCCCGTGCTTCCCACCTTTCCCCCACTGTTCCCGTGGGGCAGTTCCATGCTGTGCTCCCACCTTCCCTCCACCTGTTCCCGTGGGGCAGTTCCATGCTGTGCTCCCACCTTTCCCCCACTGTTCCCATGGGGCAGTTCCATGCTGTGCTTCCCACCTTTCCTCCACCTGTTCCCATGGGGCAGTTCCATGCTGTGCTCCCACCTTTCCCCCACTGTTCCCGTGGGGCAGTTCCATCCTGTGTTCCCACCTTTCCCCCACTGTTCCCATGGGGCAGTTCCATGCTGTGCTCCCACCTTTCCCCCACTGTTCCCGTGGGGCAGTTCCATGCTGTGCTCCCACCTTTCCCCCACTGTTCCCGTGGGGGCAATTCCGTGCTGTGCTCCCACCTTTCCCCCACTGTTCCCATGGGGCAGTTCCATGCTGTGCTCCCACCTTTCCCCCACTGTTCCCATGGGGCAGTTCCATCCTGTGCTCCCACCTTTCCCCCACTGTTCCCGTGGGGCAGTTCCATGCTGTGCTCCCACCTTCCCTCCCCCTCCTGGCTCTGGCTCAGCGGGCTCTCCTCGCAGGGACCTTCGGGGAGTGCAGCTCCGAGGCCGAGGTGCAGACCTGGATGAGGTACAACATCTTCCTGCTGCTGGAGGTGGGGACCTTCAACGCCCTGGTGGAGCTGCTCAACATGGAGATCGAGTGAGTGCCGCGGGAAAGCACCCTGGGAATGGCTCGGGAGCAGCCTGGCAGGGCCCTCAGCTGGGTCCTGCATCCACCAGAGCAATTCCCAGCCTTCTGGGTGGGTGTGGAACATAGGATTAGACCTGATAAATCCAGTATTGTTATTGGATTTATATTAATATATAAATATTTATATTATATTTATATAATATAAATATAGAATATATATTATATATTATATATTTATATATAAAATATATATTATATATAATTATATAATATATGTAATTATATAGAATATTTATATATAATATATAATATATATTATATACAAATATATTTGTATAAGAAAATACTATATAGCATTATATATAATGTAATAATTTATATTTATATAAATATATTTATATATATTTTATATATAACATATATATGAAATATATATTTTATATATATAAAGTATATGCATATTTTTATATATAAATATATATTTTTATATTATAGATATAATATTTTTATATTATATTTATATAATATTTTTATGTAACAGTAATATATATTACATACATATAATTTCTGTTGTGTTTCTATAATAATAATAATAATTGGTTAAGTCCCGAAGTCCCTCCTCCTGTGAGCAGGGAATTCCTGGCAGCGGCGTCTCTCCCGGAGTTGCCTCTGGCACGTGGGATGCCCGTGGCAGAGTCCAGATTGTCCCAGATTCCCCAAACTGCCCCGAATTCCCACTGGGCTGTTCTCCCCCCGCAGCAACAGCGCGGCGTGTTCCAGTGCCGTGAGGAAACCCGCCATTTCCCTGGCTGACAGCACGGACCTGAGGTATGGAATGGGAGCTGTGGGGCTGCAGGGGGGCCAGGCTTTTCCAGGAGCTTTGGGGAGCTGGGACAGGCCCTGGGGGGCCAGAGCTCCGTGAGCATCCATGGGTGTCCCTCGTGCTCAGCACAGCAGGAACGGGGCAGGTCGGGGATGTGAGAGCAGGAAAATTTGGGAAAGGAGATTTTTTTCCAGCTTGGACTTGGAGAGACCTTTTCCCTGAGCACTGGCATGGAATCTGGATCTGGTGTGGGCTGAAAATGCTGGAAAAAAATCAGTTCAATTCCAGCATATTCCAGGAGGAGCAAAATCCTTGCAAACATCCACCATCCACCTCGTCCTCCTGCAAACCCAGGGCTATTTTTCCTGGTTTAGAACCCAAAACTCCCTGAAAATATTCACAATTCACCTCATCCTGCCAATCCAGGGCTGTTTTCCCTGGTTTAGAGACCAGAAATGTACCTGCAGGAGCACAAACATTACCAAGGCAACTCCAGCCCACCTCCTGCATCTCCATCCCGGCATGCTGGGTGCCAGCAGTGCTTCCCAAACTCATCCCAGCTCATCCCAAGCCTTTTTTTCCAGGGTGCTGCTGAACATCATGTACCTGATCGTGGAGACCGTGCGCCAGGAGGCCGAGGGGGACAAGCCCGAGTGGAAGAGCATGAGGCAAACATTCCGAGCGGAGCTGGGTGAGGATCCGGAGCTCGGGGGGGAGCTGCCAGGCCTGGGGAGGGTCAGCGGGACGGGATTTGCCTCCAGGCCTTGGTTCACAGGGACTGGCAGCACTGGGTTGGTTTCTGCTCAGCTTGGAAGGGTGAGCAGGAGGAGCCATCCAGCCTTTCCTGCTGCTGGGTGCTCTCTTCCCAGGAAAAACATGGGGCACTGGGGCTGTTGTTTCCTCTGAACGCAGAGGTGAGAAATGATGGAGGGTCTGAGGCCTTGGAGAGGAGAGGGATCTGTCTGGGGTGGGATGGGGGTCTCTGAGCTGGTGGGGATGAGAACAGGGATGAGGAATTCCTGGATAATCCTGCTGTGTGGTTGCAGGAGCCCCCCTGTACAACAACGAGCCCTTCTCCGTGATGCTCTTTGGGATGGTGACCAAGTTCTGCAGCGGCCATGCTCCGCATTTCCCCATGAAGAAGGTGCTGCTCCTGCTCTGGAAGACTGTGCTGGTGAGGAGAGGCCATGGGATATGGGATGTGTGCTTTGGTGCTTGGCACAGGAGGGAATTCTGCCCTTGGATCTGGCTGTAATTGCTCCGTCCTCTTCTGGTGTTCAGTTTGCACCTTATTAAACCCAATCCCAGGCTTTCCCCCGTAGAGAAGTGTTGGATGTTGGTATCTGGAGCTGGGTATCGAGGATGGACCCAAAGTGAGATCCCTGATGGGATCCAGGAAGGGGAAGCTCTGGACACTCCAGTTGTGGATTCCTGGACACCCTCCTGTCCCTCCTGCCTGTCACAAGGACAAGGGGGGCACAGGGGCAGGCAGCTCCTGTTTTACACCCTGGAGAAGGATTTAGGCCTCCCAGGACAGGAAGGACATGGAGGGGCTGGAGCGTGTCCAGGGAAGGGAACAGAACTGGGGAAGGGTCTGGAGCAGGAGGAGAACTGAGGGAGCTGGAAAGGGTCTGGGCACTAGGAGAACTGAGGGAGCTGGGGAAGGGGCTGGAGCAGCAGGAGAACTCAGGGAGCTGGGGGGGCTCAACCTGGAGAAAAGGAGGCTCAGGGGGGACCTTCTGGCTCTGCAACCCCCTGACAGGAGGGGGGAGCTCCCAGGGAACAAGGGACAGGAGGAGAGGGAACGGCCTCAGGCTGTGCTAGGGGAGGCTCAGGTTGGACATCAGGAGGAATTTCTTCCTGGAAAGGGTGGTCAGACCTTGGCAGGGGCTGCCCAGGAAGGGGCTGCCCAGGGAGGTTTGGAGTCCCCACCCCTGGAGGTGTCCAAGGAAGGGCTGGCCGTGGCACTCAGTGCTCTGGGCTGGGGGACAAGGGGGTTACGGTCACAGGTTGGACTTGGTGACCTTGGAGGGCTTTTCCAACCTCCAGGATTCCATGATTGTGATTGTGGAGAGCAGTTTTGGGAAGGGCAGGGGGAGCTGCCCTGGGAGCCCCCACGCTCAGCTCCGGGGGTCCCTTGCAGTGCACCCTGGGGGGCTTTGAGGAGCTGCAGAGCATGAAGGCGGAGAAGAGGGAGATCCTGGGGCTGCCCCCGCTCCCGGAGGACAGTATCCAGGTGATCCGGAACATGAGGGCGGCATCGCCCCCGGCATCCGCCTCCGACCTCATCGAGCAGCAGCAGAAACGCGGCCGCAGGGAGCACAAGGTGGGGACGGGGACAGTGGGGGGTGACAGCAACGGGGGCAGGGACAGTGGGGGGTGACAGCAACGGGGGCAGGGACAGCGGGGGGTGACAGCAACGGGGGCAGGGACAGCGGGGGGTGACAGCAACGGGGGCAGGGACAGCGGGGGGTGACAGCAATGGGGGACAGGGACTGCGGGGGGGTGACAGCAACGGGGGCAGGGACAGCGGGGGGTGACAGCAACGGGGACAGGGACAGTGGGGGGTGACAGCAACGGGGGCAGGGACAGCAGGGGGGTGACAGCAACAGGGGCAGGGACAGCAGGGGGGTGACAGCAACGGGGGCAGGGACAGCGGGGGGTGACAGCAATGGGGGCAGGGACAGCGGGGGGGTGACAGCAATGGGGGCAGGGACTGCGGGGGGGTGACAACAACAGGGGACAGGGACAGCAGCATGGGCGTGGTGACACCAATGAGGGGACAGTGACAGCAATGGGGGTACGGTAACATCAGTCAGGGTGTGGTGACATCAGGGAGGCATGGTGACATCCTCAAGGGCATGGTGACATCAGCGAGGTAATGGTGACATCATCGAGGGCATGGTGACATTAGTGAGTGCATGGTGACATCACTGAGGGCATGGTGACATCATCGAGGGGATGGTGACATCAGTGAGGGCACGGTGACATCAATGAGGGCACGGTGACATCACTGAGGGCATGGTGACATCATCGAGGGCATGGTGACATCACTGAGGGCATGGTGACATCACTGAGGGCACGGTGACATCAATGAGGGCACGGTGACATCACTGAGGGCATGGTGACATCATCGAGGGGATGGTGACATCATCGAGGGGATGGTGACATCAATGAGGGCATGGTGACATCATCGAGGGCATGGTGACATCATCGAGGGGATGGTGACATCAATGAGGGCATGGTGACATCACCGAGGGCATGGTGACATCAGTTAGGGGATGGTGATGTCATCGAGGGGATGGTGACATCAGTGAGGGGATGGTGATGTCATTGAGGGCATGGTGACATCATCGAGGGCATGGTGACATCATTGAGGGCATGGTGACATCATCGAGGGCATGGTGACATGACCGAGATCTCTTCCAGGGGCTGGGCACTGCCCTTGGAGCAGGCCCATTCCCTGGATGCTCTGCCCCCCCCAGGCCCTCATCAAGCAGGACAACCTGGACGCCTTCAACGAGCGCGATCCCTACAAAGCCGACGACTCCCGCGAGGAGGAGGAGGAGAACGACGACGACAACAGCCTGGAGGGGGAGACCTTCCCCCTGGAGAGGGATGAAGTGATGCCCCCCCCCACCCAGCACCCCCCCAGCGAGCGCATCACCTGCCCCAAGGGGCTGCCCTGGGCCCCCAAGGTCCGGTGAGTCCGGGGGGAGCCGGGCAGGGCTGGAACGGGGTCGGGAAAAGAGGCTGGATGTTGGGAATCTCAGTAGGGATGGAGGAAGGGGTTGGGGGCGGGGTGGTCACTCGGGTGGCTGTTTTTTGGGGGGATGGGCTGGGCATCATCCCTTTGTCAGGCTTTTCCCTGGGGCTGGAGCTGTGACATTCCAAGAGGGATGGGAAGATGTGACTCTTACCTTCCCCCTTGGCTGCAGGGAGAAGGACATTGAGATGTTCCTGGAGTCCAGCAGGAGCAAATTCATCGGATACACCTTGGGCAGGTGGGGCCAGGACCAGCCGGGGGGGGTCAGTTTGAGGGGCTTGGGGAGAGGCCAGTTTGGGGGGGCTGGGGGAGAGGTCAGTTCTGGGGCTGCTCTTGCCTCCATGTAGCAGCAGAAAAGTCCTGGGGTCGCTGGCTCATGATCCCTTCCCCACCCCTGGGGGTCCCTGTTCCACCCCTGGGGGTCCCTTCCCCACTCCTGGGGGGTCCTTCCCCACTCCTGAAGGGTCCCTTCCCCACCCCTCAGAGGTCCCTGTCCCACCCCTGGGGGTTCCTGTCCCACCCCTGGGGGTTCCTGTCCCACCCCTGGGAGTCCCTTCCCCACCCCTGGGGGTCCCCACCCCTGGGAGTCCCTTCCCCACCCCTGGGGGTCCCTTCCCCTGCCCCGGGTGCCCAGCTCTGCTCCCAGCCTGGCTCTGTCCCTCCCGCAGTGACACCAACACGGTGGTGGGTCTGCCCCGGCCCATCCACGAGAGCATCCGCACCCTGAAGCTGGTGAGTCCATCCAGGAACTCCTGCAGTCCCTTCCCCAGCCCCTCCTCCCAGCACAGCTCAGGAGAGGGTTTTCCTGAGCCACCTCCCCCTTCCTCAGCCCTGTGGTGGGAGCAGCCTGAAGTTCTCATCCCATCCCTGCTCTCCCAGGCTGTCCAAGCCCCTTCCTTAGGGGCTGCATCCCTTTCTTCTTCCCATCCAGCGGGGCTTCATCCCTTCCTTAGGGGGCTTCTTCACTTCCATAGGGGCTTTATCCTTTTTTTGAGGGGCTTCATCCCTTCCTTAGGGGGCTTCATCCCTTCCTTAGGGGCTTCATCCTTCCTTGGGGAGCTTTATCCCTTTCTGAGGGGTTTTATCCCTTTCTTAGGGGCTTTATCCCTTCTTGTCTTCCTTTGCTCCTGGGATTGTCCGTAGCTGAGTCCAGCAGCTCCCACCCCGCCCATGAACATGGGCCACCCTTGGGACAGGGATCCAGGAGGGGTATTATGGGATGGTGGGAGCTGGGGGGGCTGTGCTGACCCCCCTGTCCCCCTGCAGCACAAGTACACGTCCATTGCCGAGGTCCAGGTGCACATGGAAGATGAATTCCTGCGCTCCCCACTGTCTGGAGTGAGTGTGGGATGGGATGGGGTGGGATGGGATGGGATGGGGTGGGATGGGGTGGGATGGGGTGGGATGGGATGGGATGGGATGGGATGGGGTGGGATGGGATGGGATGGGGTGGGATGGGGTGGGATGGGGTGGGATGGGATGGGATGGGATGGGATGGGGTGGGATGGGATGGGATGGGGTGGGATGGGGTGGGATGGGGTGGGATGGGATGTTTGCTCTGCTGGGGAGGGGTTTCTCTGGGCTGAGGGTCTCCAGCCCTTGGGATCATATCCCAGGACCAGGGCACTGGTGGAGGTTTTCTGGTCTCTTCTGACCCCAGGGGGAAGAGGAAGTGGAACAAGTCCCTGCTGAGATCCTGTACCAGGGCCTGCTGCCCAGCCTGCCCCAGTACATGGTGAGCTGGGAGTACTGGGATCCTCTGGGATCAGTGCCCCCGTCCCTTTCCAGTGGTGCCTCCCAGGTTTATATCCCTATTCCTGCCCCCTGCCCCCATCCCCTCTCCATCTCTCCCTGCTCCCCAGATTGCTCTCCTGAAGATCCTCCTGGCTGCAGCCCCCACCTCCAAAGCCAAGACAGACTCCATCAACATCCTGGCAGACGTGCTGCCGGAGGAGATGCCGTGAGTGCCCCGGAGCAGAGGGCTGGGATGGGGTGGATAGGGAAGGGAGAAGGGGACAGGAGAAACCAGGAAGAGTTTGGGTTGGGACTCCCTGGGTGATGTGACCCTGCCCTGCTGCAGGAGCATGGAATCATGGAATGGTTTTGGTGGGAAGGGACCTTAAAGCCCATTCCACCCCACAGGCAGGGCCACCTTCCACTATCCCAGGCTGCTTCAAGCCCCATCCAACCTGGCCTTGGACACTTCCAGGGACGGGGCAGCCACAGCTTCTCAGGGAATTCCCTCCCAGCCCCTCCCCCCCTCCCGAGAAGCAGTTCCTGCAGTGCCCCCCCCGTGCCCCCAGGACCACGGTGCTGCAGAGCATGAAGCTGGGCGTGGACGTCAACCGGCACAAGGAGATCATCGTCAAGGCCATCTCTGCCGTGCTGCTGCTCCTGCTCAAGCACTTCAAGCTCAACCACATCTACCAGGTGAGGTGGTCTGGGGTCCTCCCACCCCCCGGGGGGGATTTGGGCACGGGCAGGACCCCCCTGGTCCCCATTCACCTGCTTTTCCCCTCCCCAGTTCGAGTACATGGCCCAGCACCTGGTCTTTGCCAACTGCATCCCGCTCATCCTTAAGTTCTTCAACCAGAACATCATGTCCTACATCACTGCCAAGAACAGGTGGGGGGAGCTGCTCCCCTGCATCCCTCTGGGCTGTGGGGAGGGGGCCCTGCTTCCTCTCCCCTCTGGAGCCCCTCCCTGGGCACAGGCACGGTGGGAAGTGCCCACCACGGACAGTCTCCAGTGGGTGGGAGGTGGGGTCTGCATTGCCCCCCAGGCCAGGGGGGTGTGGGAGGGATCAGTGGGGGCTGTGGGGGATCAGCACAACCCCCCTCTCCTTCCTGCAGCATCTCTGTGCTGGACTATCCCTACTGTGTGGTGCACGAGCTGCCGGAGCTGACGGCCGAGAGCCTGGTGAGTCCGGCTGTGCCAGTCCTGGGGGGCTCCCCGGGGGAAAGGGGGGCTCCCCCACCCAGCCCTGGCACCCTCTCCATGCTCCTGGGGCTTCTGGGGAGTACAGCACATCTATGCTGGGGTCACTTCTGGGCCCCTCAGGACAAGAAGGATATTGAGGGGCTGGAGCATGTCCAGGGAATGGAACAGCTGGGGAAGGGTCTGGAGCAGCAGGAGAACTGAGGGAGCTGGGAAGGGGCTGGAGCAGCAGGAGAACTGAGGGAGCTGGGGGGGCTCATCCTGGAGAAAAGGAGGCTCAGGGGGGACCTTCTGGCTCTGCAACTCCCTGACAGGAGGGGGGAGCTGGCGGGGGGGGGTCAGGCTCCGCTCCCAGGGAACAAGGGTGATCAGGCCTTGGAAGGGGCTGCCCAGGTGGAGTCCCCATTCCTGGAGGTGTCCAAAAATCTGTGGATGTGGCACTTGGGGACATGGTCAGTGGTGGCCTTGGCAGTGCTGGGGGATGGTTGGACTTGGTATCTGGGAGGGCTTTTCCAACCTTACCAATTCCGTGACTGGGTGATTCCATGCCTGCATACTCTTTGGACAAGCCCAGCCCAGCCTCTCCCCATCCCTGCTCCCTTCCCTTGCCTGACCCTGCCCATCCTCCCTGCAGGAGGCCGGAGACAACAACCAGTTCTGCTGGAGGAACCTCTTCTCCTGCATCAACCTGCTGCGCATCCTGAACAAACTGACCAAGTGGAAGCATTCCCGCACCATGGTGAGGGCTGGGAATGTTCTGGAGCTCAGCCTGGCTGGACTGGGATCTCACTGAGGGCCTGGGCTGTGGGAACACCCTGTGGCAACCCAGCCCTTGGTGGGGAGGGAGAAGCGAGTGAGGGGGGAGGGTGTTGACACAGGACCCCATCCTATCCCATGCCATCCCATCCTACCCATCCCTGTCCCACCCATCCTACCCATCCCTGTCCCACCCACCCCACCCTATCCCTGTCCCACCCCATCCCACACCACCCCTGTCCCACCCGTCCCTGTCCCACTCCTCCCTGTCCCACCCTATCCCTGTCCCACCCATCCCTGTCCCACCCCATCCCACCCCACCCTATCCCTGTCCCACCCCATCCCTGTCTCCCCATCCCTGTCCCCCCATCCCTGTCCCCCTGTCCCTATCCCCCCTGTCCCTATCCCCCCCTGTCCCTGCCCCCTGTCCTGTCCCCCCGTCCCTGCCCCCCATCCCGGTCCCCCCCGTTCCCTGTCCCCCCCATCCCTGGCCCCCCCCGTCCCCGTCCCTGTCCCCCCCATCCGCTCCCCCCGGCCCTGTCCCCCATGTCCTCCCCCCCCCGTCCTGTCCCCCGGTCCCGGTCCCCCCCGTCCCCGGTCCCCCCCGGGTCCCCCCGTCCCTGCCCCCTGGCCCTGTCCCCCGCCCTGGCCCCCCCATCCCTCCCCCCGTCCCTGTCCCCCCCCGTCCCTTCCCCCCATCCCTTCCCCCCCATCCCGGTCCCCCCATCCCTTCCCCCCGTCCCGGTCCCCCCCATCCCTTGTCCCTGTCCCCCCGTCCCTGTCCCCCCGTCCCCCCATCCCTGTCCCCCCATCCCTGTCCCCCCGTCCCTGTCCCCCTGTCCCTGTCCCCCGTGTCCCCGCAGATGCTGGTGGTGTTCAAGTCGGCGCCGATCCTGAAGCGGGCCCTGAAGGTGAAGCAGGCCATGCTGCAGCTCTACGTGCTCAAGCTGCTCAAGGTGCAGACCAAGTACCTGGGGCGCCAGTGGAGGAAGAGCAACATGAAGACCATGTCGGCCATCTACCAGAAGGTTCGGCACCGCCTCAACGACGACTGGGCCTACGGCAACGGTACCTCCCGCCCGCCCGCGGCATTCCCATGGCATTCCCATGGCATTCCCGCAGCATTCCCATGGCATTCCCGCGGCGTTCCCACGGCATTCCCGCGGCGTTCCCACGGCATTCCCATGGTGTTCCCGCAGCGTTCCCGCGGCGTTCCCATGGCATTTCCGCGGCATTCCCACGGCATTCCCATGGCGTTCCCGCGGCATTCCCACGGCATTCCCACGGCATTCCCATGGCATTCCCGCGGCGTTCCCATGGCATTCCCACGGCATTCCCATGGCATTCCCGCGGCTTTCCCGTGGCATTCCCACGGCATTCCCACGGCGTTCCCATGGCATTCCCGTGGCATTCCCACGGCGTTCCCGCGGCATTCCCGCGGCTTTCCCGTGGCATTCCCACGGCATTCCCACGGCATTCCGATGGCATTCCCGCGGCGTTCCTGCGGCGTTCCCTTGGTGTTCCCACGGCATTCCCGCGGCATTCCCACTGCAGGGGCTGCTCCGGGGCTCGTGCGCATGGGGTGGGGCGACCTTCACCAGTTGACCTTGACCAGTTGACCTTGACTGGGTGCCCACAAAGCTGCTCTTCCCAGCCTTTCCCAGCCTTTCCCAGTTCTTCCCAGCCCTTCCCAGCCCTTCCCAGCCCTTCCCAGCCTTTCCCAGCCTTTCCCGGTTCTTCCCAGCCCTTCCCAGCTCTTCCCCAGCATTTTCCTGGCCCTTCCCAGCTCTTTCCCAGCCCTCCCTAGCCCTTCCCAGCTCAGTCAGGCCCAGTCCAGCTGAGCCAAACCCAGTCCAGCTGAGCCAGACCCAATCCAGAGGTCTGGGATGCAGGAGGGATTCCAGGTGGAGGCTTTGCAGGGCTCAGGGCTGTGCCAGATCTTGGGACTCCCTTTGGCTGAACAGCTTGGGTTTTGCCCTAAATCAGGCTGGAACAGCAGGTTCAGTGCCCTCCCCATCAGGGTTTAGGAGCTGGGCTGAGGTGACATCCCATTATTTTGGGACTGTTTTTGGCCCGAGGGGTCCAAACCAACAGCGTCTCCTGTTGTTGATGCGGTGGAGCTGCCGTGTCTGCCCTGGTGGGGACCCACAGCCCCCTTTCCTTTCCCGGGGGCTTTGGGCTCCTCCCTGAGCTCTTTTCTCTCTCCTGGCAGACCTGGATGCCCGCCCCTGGGACTTCCAGGCGGAGGAATGTGCCCTCCGTGCCAGCATCGAGCGCTTCAACGCGCGGCGCTACGACCGCGCCCACGGCAACCCCGAGTTCGTGCCCGTGGACAACTGCCTGCAGAGCGTGCTGGGCCAGCGCGTGGAGCTGCCCGAGGACTTCCAGGTCAACTACGACCTGTGGCTGGAGAGGGAGGTCTTCTCCAGGCCCATCTCCTGGGAGGAGCTGCTGCAGTGACGGGGACATGGGCGCGGGGCGGGGGCAGGGAGTGGGGCTGGGGGTGTGTCTGGAGACCTGGGGGGGTTGGGAAGAGGGTGGGGCTGGGGGGTCCTTGCCGAGGTGCCATCCTGCCCCTCTGCCCCGTTCCAGGCTCGTCCCGCAGCTGAGGGTGGGGGGCTCTGGTGCCCCGGGGGGTTCCCGTCGGGTGAGGGGGTCTGTGCCCACCCTGGGGTAGATCCCCCCCACCCCAAGGGCAGTGCCCCCCTGGGATCTGCCCATCCCTGGGCAGGGATGTGCCCCCCCGGGCAGATTGACCCCCCTTGGGCCGTGCCCACCCCTGAGGTTGCTTTCAGGGCCACCTCCCTCCCGGTGCCCTCTGCAGCCCAAACAGGGGGGCAGTGTGGGAGGGGGTCCCTCGCGTGGGGCGAGAGGCTGGCCCTGCCCAGCCCCTCCTGGGGGGCTCTGGGGGGCCAGGGGGGGTGAGCTGTATATAAATTATATATATTTGGTGATATCTCTGCCCTGAGTGTGCCCAGGCTCTGTCTGTGTCCCCACCCCGAGCTGGGAGGGGGGTTCTCATCTGCCCTTGTCCCCGTCACCTCTCACGTCCCACGGGGGTCCTGACCTGTCCCCAGAAGGTTTAATGTTCCCCTTGCCCCCACTCTGTTGGTTTGGGGGGTTGGTGGCCTCGAGGATGGCAGGTCCCCCCCTGTCCCATTCCCTGAGCCCTCCCCAGCTCTGTCCTGGGATTTCTGGCACCATCCTGGTGTTCCCACTGGGATTGTCTCTGCTCCCAGACACCCAACCCAGCCTCCCCAAAGCATGGCCTTGCCAGAGCTCAGCCTTGCACCTTGCTGGGCCTCAGTTTCCCTGGCACAGGGGCATCTCCCAGGGATGGAATCCTGAGGGATTCGCCCTGGTTCGAGGGAGGGAAGCTGGGACAGCCCCAATTCCCACCCCATCCCTGTGGGACAGCTCAGGGCTGAGCCTGTGGAGCTCCAGGAGTGAATCCAGCCCTAATGGAGACAGCAAACCCCATTCCCAGAGCCGACCCACGATCCAGGTGGGAATCTCCCCCCTCACCCCCCCCAGACTCTACAGCAGTGCCAGAGCCAGAAATAACTTATTACAAATGTGTTTTATTGCTCAGAAATGAAGACCCGGATCCCCCCTGCCAGGAGGGGGGTGGGATGGCCCAGGGGAAGGGGGGCATCCATGGGGGGCACCAGGCTGTGCCAGGGGTGCCAGGTTTGGGCTGAAAACCTTGGGGTTTGGCCCAGATTGGGCTGGAGCAGCGGGTTTGGTGCCTCCCCAAGAGAGGGTCCAGGTGCCTCTCCAGGGTTTCCCCCCCAGTCAGGATGGGGCAGGGTGGCATCCCAGTTTTGGGGGCAGTTTTGGCACTTGGGGTGACTCCCCCCAGGACCCCCAGAGAAGATGAAAGAAGTTGGATGCAATGAGGTGGCCCCCCTCCACCCCCCCAGGACTGGCCATACAGGTACCCCCCCTAAGAGCCCCCCCAAAATGGGGAACATCCCCCAAATGACCAGTTGTGCCCCCAACACCCCTCTTGGAGCACTTGGGGGGTCCCATCTGGGGGGATTAAAGCACCTCCCCACCTCTTCCATCCAAGGGGTAACAGGTGACCCCCTCCCCAGGGAAACCGGCTTCAATTTGGGAATCTTTACCCTCTCAGCCCCCCCCCATGGATTTACTGCCCCTCCCGGGGGGCTCCCCCTGCTCCAGGAACTGGGGCTGTGCCAGGGCTTCCCCCCAAAAGGAGAGCAGAAAGGGCTGTGGTGGTTGGAGGGGGGCTTTGGGGGCTCCTTGAACACAGCTCTGCCCCCAGGAACCCCCCCGAGCACCAGTAACTGTCCCAGTCCAGGGGCCCTTCCCAGTATGGGACTGGAGTGGAAGAGCCCAATTTCTGCCATTGCTGGTTGCATTGGGAGGGGGGTGAGCAGCCAAACTGCAGCTGGGGAGGGGAGAGGAACCCCCAAAACACCCTGTGTCCCCTGCCAGGGGGGGTATCTTCCCCCCCCCGTCACAGTCCCCCTACCCAGGGCTGGGCCCCCCCCCAGCCTGGGACACAGATTTGATGGGAGGGGAGGGGGCTGCAAAACCCGCGGGAATCTCCATCAAACCCCCTTCACTGAAGGTGCTTGGGGGGGCTCGGGGAGCCACTTTTGGGGGCCTGAGCTGCCAGTGCCAGCCCGGGGGTGGGGATGATCCTCTTCCCTCCCCACAGCCCCCCTTTAGCTCCCCCGGTGCTGCAGCATCGCGCTGGATTCAGGAAAACTCCCGGAGATCGGGGGGTGCAGGGAGGGGGGGAAGGTGATCCCACCACCCCGCTCCCAATTCCTGGCGCTGCGGGGGGTGGGGGATCCGCGTCCCTCCCCCCGGGGGATCAAGTGGCCCAGCCCAGCAGGTTCCCGGCCCCCTCTTTGCTCTTCATCCTCAGCGGCATCAGCGCGGGCGCCTTGTAGTCGTGCTGGGGGGGGGGCTCGAAGGGGCGGGGGCCCAGGGCCGGGGGGGGCAGCCCGTGCAGGGAATAGAGGCCGTTGATGGCGGGGGGGGCGCCCGGGGAGGCGGGAAGGGCCACGAAGGTGTTGCTGTGGGCGGGGGGGGGATACGGGGCCAGGCAGGGGGACGGGAGGGGCTCGGCGGGCAGGAGCCCCGGGGGGCTCGCGGGGCTCGGCCACAGGTTGTTCTGCAGCTGAAAGAACCAGAAACGAGCCCAAAGTGAAATGGGGGGGGGGAATGACATCCCCTCAGATCCCCCTCATCCCACCTTGAATCCTTGTATCCCCTGAGCTCTCCTTCACACCCCACTCACTCCCTCTCACCCCCCCTCGGATCCCTCTCAACCCTCTTTGGATCCCCCTAATCTGCCCTTGGATCCCTCTTACCCCACCCCGGGCCTCCCTCATTCCCATTTCAGACCCCCATCAGATCCCCCTCATCCCTCCTTGCCCCCCCATCCCCCTTCAGATCCCCCTCAATTCCCCCTTTGGATCCTCCTCATTCCCATCCCTTCATCCCTCCCTCAGATCCCTCTCAACCTCCCTTGGATCCTCCTTATTCCCCCTCGGATCCCCCTCATCCCTCCTTGGATCCCCCTGGGATCCCCCCACCCCCCTGGGATCCCACTCACCTCCCATTGGATCCCCCTCGGATCCCCCCCAGCCCCCCTCGCCTTTTCTCTGTTTTAGGGCCCTGGGGGGGTCAGACCTGGTTGAAATGTTCCCCCCGGGACAGTTTGGCCTCAGGGGTGTGGGTGAAGCTGAATTTTCAATTATTTTTACGCTTTTCAATATTGGGGGGGGGGAAGGGCAGTTCTGTAGAAAAGGGGGGGCAGGAAGCACTGATGGGTGGGAGAGGCTCTTAAGGGGGGGACACCACACCCCAAAACGTGCCCCACAGGGCACAATCCCACGGGAGATGGACTGGGAAGCAGCAGCATCTTCCTGCGTGTGGAAAAATGTCCTTTTCCCTCTTTTCCATCTAGGGCCACCCTTTTTCCGAGGGTGGAGGGAACCGCAGGGCCCGTGGGGGATGGGGAGGGGGAAGGGCAGGAACGGGTGATGTGGGACACCCCCGGTTCAGTGGGATGAGCCCCCTCCCCTGGGAATGGGGGACGCGGGGCCGGGACTTCTCTCACCTCCTGGATTTTCCCGTAACGTTCCCGTTTCCGCCACTTGGCCCGACGGTTCTGGAACCAGACCTGGGGATGGAGGAGGGGGCTGAGGGGTGGGGACCCTCCCCCTGCTCCCCGCAGCCCGTCTGCCGCGATCCACGCTCCTTCCCGCCGGGAAAACGCCTGGACACGGAGCCGCCTCGTCCCGGGGAACCGGAGCTGAGCGCAGGGACCCTCCCCGTGCTCGGTGTTCGAGCCCAGCGGCCTTTTCCTCTACAAACACCGGAATCGCTCTTATCCCGCAGGGGAAACCATCAGTCCCGCTCGGTGAGTGGTCCTTTTCCCTCCCTGGCGCTTCGGAGCCTTGTTTATCCCAGATTTTGCTGCGGAACGAGGTGGTTTTGGGGTCCCGATGTCCCTCCGTGCTGGGGCGGGGACTGGAGCTCACTGGGGGGGGTCTCTGGTGCTCACTGGGGCAGGAGCGGCTCCAGCGGCGTCTCCCGGGGAGGAGGAAGGAGGAGATCGGGATCCTTGGCTCGGGGCTCACGTGGTTACAGGTGATTTCATCCAAATCCACCCCAAATCCAGGCCCCGGTGGGCGCGGGGTGGGTTCGGGCTCCGGGGGCACATCCCGTGCCTTGTCCCCGCTCCTGCCCCCGGGAAGGGCAGTTCCCAGCTCCCGGTGGGAGCTCCCTGCCCTCACTCCCTCCCTTCTGGGTGCCTCCTCCAGACTCCTCTTCCCACCTGGAGCCACAACCCCCCGCGGAGACACTTCTGGAAGCAGCTCCCGGCCAGTGCGATGCCAGCGGAGCCCGGGATAAGGGTCGGGCTCGTCCTGCCCCATATCCCAGGATGTGCCACCCCCAACCCCATCCGTACCGAGCTCCCAGGGTCCCTCCAGGGCTGGAGGAGCTGAGCTGGGGAGGGGGCTGGGAATAATGGATTCGGGCAGGGGGGATGGTCCGGGGGCAGGTTGGCAGCGACCTCCCAGATTTTGGCTCTTCCCACCCCTGGGGTGCCGGAGAGAGGGGAGAAGGGACAGAGTTTAGAGGCGACCAGCGCCCACATCCCAGCGGTGGGTGATGGACACACGGAGAAGGATTTCCCATCTGGGATTTAGCATAATCCTGGGAAAAACAGCTTCTACCTGAGCATGGAGGAGGGAAAAACACCTTCCAGCTCTGCCTGGCAGCACCCGGGTTGTCCATTCCCAGCCCTCTGGAGCCAGGGCTCCGTTCCCGTACCTGCACCCGGGCCTCTGTCAGGTCTGTCCGCAGCGCCAGCTGCTCCCGGGCGTAGACGTCGGGATAATGTGTCTTCTGGAAAACCTTCTCCAGCTCCTCCAGCTGGAACGTGCTGAAGGTCGTCCTGTTCCTCCGCTTCTTGCTCTTGCTCTTGCCCAGGGGCTCGGGGAGCTCGGGGGCCCCGTGGTCCCGCAGGGCACCCAGAGGTGCTGCCAGCGGGCACCCCAAATCCCCCGGGGCTTTGGGGGGGGCCCGGCAGGCTCCGGGAAGCATCTGGAACCCACCTTTGCAGCCCTTCTCACCTGGGGGGGAGGCACAGGGGGAGGGGGTGTCAGTGGGGACAAGGAAGCCAAGTGCTCTCCGTGCCACAGCCCCATCCCATCCCTTATCCCGAGGGACTGGGATACAGCTCCCAGAGAAAGGGGCTCGGTACGGACATGCAGCAGGGCAAATCCATCACTGGGGAGGGCAAAATCCTGCTCGAGGTGGGAGAGGAGGGCAGGAAAAGCCCCCCGAGGGTGTGGGAAGCCTGCACGGAGCAGCGGGGGCTCAGGGACCCTCCGGAATGTTGGGGTGGGCAGGGGGCAGAGGAGGTGGGCACGGGGTTGTCTTGCAGACAGGGCTGAACTCGCCCTGTTCCTCTCCTGGTTCCTCCTCATCCCTCTCCTGCTCCCTTTCCGCCCAGGGCAGAGCCAAAGGACCCCCAGCTCTGGGGGGATCCAGCCCCCCACCCTCGAGCTTGGTTCAGGGGGAGCGGCCGTGCCCCCGAGTCGGCACTTCCCTGGAGCTGCAACTCCCGGGAAAACTCTTGGAAAGGGGTAAAAATTACCCCCTCGCCTTTTTGCTGGAGAAGAACTCCCCTCCCCCGGGGATGAGGGCAGGAAATTTGGGGGTTCTCCCCTTCCCCTCTGTGCTGCTGCACCTCTGGGCTGGTTGATGGAAAGGGATCAAGGTTCGGGGGTCACCCTTGTCCCCCCAGGGGGGTTGTTTGTCCCCCTGAACTCGGCGGCTCCGGGGGACTCCGGGGGCTGTGGGGATCCCGAGGAGCTGAGCCGGGAAAGGGAGAGCTGAGGGGGAATCGGGCATGGGGGGAATGGTTTGGGGTCCCCAGCAGCCGAGGAGACACAGGGAAGGAGACAACCTAAAAATGCCGGGTTTGCCCTGATCCCACCCCAATCCCCGGCTCCAGGGATTTGAGATTCCTGGGGGAGTGGATCGCTGGCCCCCTCGGAGGGGCAGGATCAGGAAAATGCCGCCTTTGGAACGGATCCTCCTTCCCAGCCCTTTAACCAACATCCCGAAGGAGCGGGGGAACGGGGTCCCCATCCCTGCAGACCCCACGGGGGCTCTGCACCCCAAAACCAGCCCCCGCACCCCCAAAACCAGCCCCTGCACCCCAAAACCAGCCCCTGCACCCCAAAACCAGCCCTCACACCCCTAAACCAGCCCCCGCCGCGGCCTTTTCCGGCCTTTCGGTTTTGATTTTTGGTTGTTTCCTAATTAAGGCAATTTGGGGGTTACGGCACAGCCGAGCCCGGGTCCAGCTGCTTTGAATTAATGGGTAAATGGAATCTGGGGGGGGGGGTTGGTGGGGCGATCGCTCCCCGTCCCTCTCGGTACTGACCTGTCCCTGTGCCTGGTCATGGATAACGGCGAAGGGATGAGGCCAAATTCCCGTTTCCTCCCCGTTTTGGCCTTCAAAGGGCTCAGCCGGAGGGTTTTAATGATAAAAAACAAGTCCCACCAAAGAGCAGAGCAAAGGCAAACCCCCTCCAGTATCACCAAAATTAGGGAAAATATGACCAAAATTAAATGCCGCTGCACAAAGCATCGAGTTTGGGTTATTTTTTCCCCCTTTCCAAAGGCAACATGGAGCATTTCCGAGCGGGTTTTGGCATCAGAGACAAATAAATACCCAGAAAGAAGGAATCGGCAGGAAGGAGCGGGATCCAGGCACGCAGCTAAATAAACACCGTGGCACAGGGGGACAAAAGATGGGAAAAAGAGAAGACAGAGATATTCCCCCCCCATCTCCTTCCTCGTCTGACACCCCCGGAAAGATTCGGCGGCGCTGGGGAAGGGGCAGCTGGGGAACAGCTGCACAGTTCCTGGGATAACGGGAGGGGAAAGGAGAGCTCAAAGGGATCATTAGCGAAGGGATGGGGGCACGGAAAGGGCTCCGGGAACGGCAGCAGGTAAGTGCTGCGGCAGCGGGGGATCATCCCGCTATTCCCGGTATCCCCAGCCCGGTGTTCCCGGGGCGTTTTCTGCCTGTTCCCCGCGGCGGGGGGGCTTTGCTGGGTCCCAGCTGGTTCCCATTTCCCCCGCGCCGCTGCCTTTTGCTTCTTATATTAAAGCGAAACGGGGGATAAAAGGACCGGGGGGTCCCGGAGGAGCCCCCGACGGGCCCGGCCGGGACAGTGCGGGGAGAGCCTCGGGGATGAGCCCGGTCCTACCCGAGCCTGGAGAGGGGAGCGGAGCTCCAGGACCCCCGAGCCGAGGGGAAGTGGGAGCTCTGGAGCTCCAGAGCCGGGTACCGGGGAGCCCTGAGGTGCTCGGGCACCGGGGAACTGGGATTGCTGGAGCCCCGGAGTCCCGGGAACCGGGTGCTCTGGAGCCCCGCACCCGAGCAACAGGGAACCGGGAGCGACGGAGTCCCGGGCCCGGGGGACTCCCGTGCGCTGCCAGCCCCGCTGTCCGGCCCCCCCCCGATCCCGGAGCCCCCCCGGTTGCTGCCGCCGGTCCTGCCCGGTGGGTCCCGCGGACGGGAAGGGGCGGCCGGGCGCGACTTTCCAGCCTCCTCCGGGGAACGGGGCCGTTCTCTGTCCCCGGGAACGGGCACCGACCCCGGGAACGGGCTCTGTCCCCGCCGCTCCCCGCCCGGGCCGGTCCTGCCGTCGCAGCAGCGGGGCCGAGTCTGTCCCGCCGCTTCTTCCCCCCTCGTTTCTGGAGAACAGGAACCATCCCGGACCCCCCCGCTCTCTGTCGCGACACAGTCCCGGCCGCCGACACTCGGCAGCACCGGCCCGGCCTTTGCCGGCTCCGGCTCCGTCGGGGGATGCTCTGGCGGTCCCCGACGGGGCCATATCGCGACAGCGGCCGCGCCGCTGAAGCCGCGGGGGATCGTGTCGGCGACGGGACCCTCGGGGTGGGCGGTCAGGGCGGGGGTCCCGGCAGAGCCCGCGGGCGGGGCAGAGAGGGGCGAAGAGAAGCAGAAGGGCCGGGAGGGGCTCGGCGGCCGCGCCCCCCCCCCACCCGCCGCTCCCCCGGTACCTGCGGCCCCGGGCGGGTACGGGGGCTTCCCATGGACGGCCACGGCGGGGGGGCCCGCGCTGGAGACCCCCGGGTAGCGGGGCTGTGCCCGGGCCGGCGGGCAGCGGGCGGGGCGGGGGCTGAGCGGCGGCGGCCGCCGGGGGGGGCCCAGGGCGAAGGCGGTGGGAGGCCGCGGGACCCCCGGAGGACCCCCGGGCCGGCGAGGCGGGGGGAAGGCCGGGCAGCCCGGAGCCTCCATGGCGCAGGTTGGAGGGGACGGGGACGGGCGGCGGGAGCGGATTTTGTGCGAGGGACCGGGAGGAGGGGGACGTGGGGGGTGATGGGGAGGGAGGGATCGCCCAGCAGCCCCCCCGGCCCGGACACCCCCACCCACCGCACCCCCCAGCCCACCCCCCACTCCACAGCCAGTCACGTGCGTCCCAACCGCGGCGTTAACCCTCTAATCCCGAACCCACCCCCACCCCGGGGTCTCTTTCCCGGGTGGGTCAGACCCTCCATCCCCAGCGCAGGGGCCGCAGGAGGAGCTCTGCTCCCCCTTCCCAGTGCTCCCAGTGTCTCCAAGCTACAGGAAACGCCCAGGGCCCTTCCTTGCTTTAAAACTCCATCCCTGGCTGCTGAGAGCTGCAAGAAATCCCAGCACGGGCAGAAACTTCCATTTTTCCGACACTCTCTGGATTATTTTCCCCTTCCCAAGGTCTACTGGACCCCTTTACATCCTTTCCCTCCCCAGAGCCGGGGCTGAGGACTGGGACGAGTTGGTTCAGGGATGATTGTTAACCCAGGACATGGAATCCAGACCTGGAATACGGGATTCAGGGATGGTGGTGACCCTGGGACGTGGGATCCAGAGACAATTGTGACCCTGGGACAAGGAATTCAGGCAAAATCATGACCCTGGGATACAGGATCCAGAGATGATGGTGACCCTGGGACATGGGATCCAGGGATGATGGTGACCCTGGGACATGGGATCCAGGATCCCCCAGTGCCCTTGGAGCAGGAGCTGGGCTCTGCTGGGCTGGGGGCTGGTTGCTCCAAGCACCAAGGAGGTCCCATCCTGCTTCCCATATGTCCCTGTCGTTGTTCCCATGCCCCAGGATTTGGATCCCCTCATCCCAGGATCCTGACTTTGCCTTTGGCAGTGGGCACTGTGCTGGGACAGAGCAGATCAGAGCTCACCAGGAATCCTTTTCCCCCTTTCCTGCCCCATTTTGCTCCTCTGCTCCCCAGGACTGGATGTTTGGCTCGTTTGGGGTGAGGGGACGCAGTTTTGGGGGGGTTGTGCACAAAATAAGGGGCAGATTTGGCATTCAAAGCCTCAGAGAGGACATTAAATGAAGGGCCTGGAGAACTGGGCAGAAATCTTGGCTGAGGGGAGAAGTTTTACCCTCCATTTGCTGTTTTTCCCTGGGCACAACAATTTTAGCTTGTCCCTGGGCATCATTCCTCGCTCCAGCTCCAGGAAAAATGACCCTGCAGGTTTGGGGGCTGCAGGGCAGGGGATGAACCAGGTGGGAGCAGCAAAAAGAGGTGGAGGAGGAGCCAGCAGATCCCCGAGGTGTGATGATAACAGAACAACGGGACAAAGCCGACCATAAATAACATTATCACTTCTATCGGCGCTGCCGGGGCAGGGCTTTTATCCTGGCACCGGGAACACCTGGAATTAGGAGACAATCTCATTTCAAAGAGTTCACGATAGAAATATAATGTCAGGGGCTGAGGGTCATGTGATGTTGGAGTGTTGGAAAAATTGGTGGAATCCCAGGAGTGGTGGATTTGGGGTGTAAATCACAGCTGGATTTTCCAGCCTCTGCTCAGGGAAAGAAAAATCTTGGCTGGTTGCCCAAAATTATTCTTTTGGAGTCCTTTGAGGGGCTGGTTCTGCACAGGGGGGTCTGAGAGGGCAGTGCCCCCTCCTCACCCCCCCGGGGCATCCCATGGCATTCCCTGACTGTGGAAATTCCCTAACTGGAGCTGCCGGGATTTTTCCTGTTTTCCACTGCCCACAGCTCCCTGTGTGCTGTAAACTGCGGTTAAACTGTACTGGGAGGCCTCTGGCCCAGCACAGATCATTAAATATCAATAAACATAACTCCTGGAAAGGCTGATTAGTTTTAACTCCTGTTTTTTTCCTGGCATTTAAGGGGATTTCGGAGCAGGATGAGTCCCTCCACGCCTGGCAGTGCTGTGGAGCGGGACAGGCTTTGGGAAGGGCCGGTTTTCCAGGGTGGAGGGATCACTGGGACCCTCCTGGGCAGGTGGAGAGCTCTCAGGCAGGTGGGGGTTGGGGTGTTTGGAGCTGAAGTCAGCACAGGGTTCCTGAGATTCTGGGGAGTTGGTGTCGGTTCCTGGAGCTGCCGAGGAATTTGGTCCCTTCCCTGGGCGGGAGGAGCACCAGGATTCCAGGGATCTCCCTCTGAACCTGCCACCAACCCTCTGCTCTGGATGAGGCCAGGGGGTCTCATCCTCCTGGATCTGGGGATGGATATGTTGGGTGCTTTGGGACAAGGCTGGAAGGTGGTGTCAGGATGGGACTGAGCAGGGCAGGGCAGGTTCCTTTGCCGTGGACCAGCTTATCTGTGGGCAGAGGGTGATCCCACCCATTCCCGGGCTCAAAAGCTTCCAGAGAAACTTTTCACATCCCGGTGTCCGACTCCGACATCTCCATGAGGGAAGAGCTGCTGGGGTGGCTCTTGGATGGAAATGACCTTTTGTGGCCCAATTTTAATTGGATTTACCACCAAATGCAATTAAAAGTGGCGTCACCAGAGCCACCAAGTGCAGCAGGAGGACTCCAGCGGGATCCTCGCAGGGAAAACGCTTCCTGCTTTCGGTTTCTCTCTTGCTCGTGGACAGGAGGAATTTTTTTACTCTCTTTGCATCCCATTGGTTTTCCCGACCGTCCCCAAGGATCCCAGGGAGCTGCATCTCCTCCCCTGGGGTCACGGGGTGCCCTGGAGCTCTGCAGGAGGCCGGGAGGGTTGGCAGAGCTCTGTGGTTTGTAGGAACATCCCTGCACAGCCGAGATTTCCCTGCGCCACCCGGAGCCTCGGGAATGCTGGAGAGGGACTGGAGCAGTGCCTGACCCAGGGAATGGGCTCCTCCTTCCCTAGGGACACTTCTCCCTCCCAGCCCGAGGGCTGGGAAATGTAGATGAGGACCAGCATCGTCATCCAGGTCCAATTCCACCCCCCGGGCTTTTCCTCCAGGAGGGTGGGGTTTATTATTATTATTATTATTTTTACAATGATTTTTAGCAGTTTTGGGGAGAAATCCCGTCCCTGGAAGTCTGTGGAGGAAAAGCTGTGGGTTCCTCTGGAGAACAGGGAGGCAGCTGAGCCCCACGTGAGCTCCAGGGGCCAGGGACAGTCGGGGGACAACTGTCCTGGTGGCACTTGGGCTCCGAGGGTCCCTCCCTCCCGCAATCCCGGCCCAGGGGTTTGGGATGTTCTCCAGCTCTGCTGCTCCTCTCAGTCCCAGGGGAAAAAATTCCTGGTTCTTCTCGGCCTGGTGAAAGACAAAAGGAGCCGGGACAGCACACAAAGGCCGTTCCCGTGCCCCTGAAAGGAGGAACGTTTGGGGGATGCCCGGGAGGTTCTTCCCGGTTCGTCCTCAGCCTTTGTCCGTCTGCACATCCCAAATATCCCAGAAAATCCTCCAGTTCCCGAGGTCCAACTCATCACAGAGCTTCATCCCAAGCTGCAGCTTGATTTTGCTCAGGAATGTGCTTCTTGATGGCAGGAAAAATGACTTGAAATAATAAATATTTTGGTAATGAGGGGAAACAATAAAGCCATTTTTATACGGATTTATTAATATAAAATATATATTTATATAAAATATGTATTTATAAGTTTGTTATATTTAGATAAAATATACTTTTATATACAAATGTAGACATTTGTATAAAATTTATATAAAATATACGTTCCTATAAAATATACGCTTTCTATAAAATGATACATTTTTATATATAATTTATATTTTTTTTTTCGGTTGGTCATAACCCTGGGTTGTGTCAGGGAGTGGGAAATGGAACTGGAAACCCATCGGGATCACGGAGCTGGGGCTGGATTTGGTATTTCATGGAATGACCCCAATTCCAGATCCCACAAAAGCAAAAGTACAAACACAAAAATCCCCCCGGGTGGTTTCACGATGCCCCCGGACACACCCGTGTCTTACACACACAAATCTACGTGTGCAGATTTAAAGCTGTCATTTAGATACAATTTAAGTATTAATATTTTATTATTGAATACATTAATACAATATATTAATAATTTATGGATTTTTATATATATCTTTTTATATAATGCAGTATATATTTTATATATATATCTACACAGATTACGTATTATTAAATGTACTGTATTTTATATGGTATATTCTACATACTGGATTGCACTATGTTAATTAGATAATATTAATTACATTCTATTTTTATGTTATATTATATTATTTTCTAACATCTGTTTATCCCTGGAAACATTCAAGGTCAGGTTGGAGCAACCTGGGATAGTGGAAAGTCGAAATGGGAAGAGCCTTAAGGTCCCTTCCAACCCAAACCATTCCACGGCTCCATAATTCCATAATTCCATATACACACATTTTTATATATAAATATACGCCTAATTATTATTTTATATTGAAATATTAGTTCGTATTTATATAAATACATCTATTTATAGCCACACTGATAATTTAATCCCTCGCAAATGTACATTATAATTTTGCCCACAAACACTCTATTCCCACAATACTTCGTGTTTTCAGCGCAGGGGACACTAAAACCCTGGAATTTTGTGCCTGGATGGCAGAGGGACGCGGCTGAACATGTGGGGATCACATGCAAATCATCGCACAAATCCCCCCATTAGTACAAATATATTATATTTGTGGAGTTTCCACGTCCAGAGGCACCGAGGACGGACCCCCCAGCGCTGCAAACGGGGGGGATTTTTCCCGGGAAACGGCGAAAATTCCTTACGGATTCTAGTTTTAGCAATTTTTTTTTTTTTTTTGTGGTTGCTTTTCGCGCTGTGGAAACCTCGACGTTCCCGTTTTCATCCCGGCCCCGGCTCCGGAGCCGCGCTCGGTGTCAAACGGGGGCCGCGAATTAACGATGGGAAGAACGAGCGAGGGCTCGAACGCCGGGAAAAGGAGCGGCGGGGCCGGGATTTGTCCCGGCGGGAACCCCGAGCCTCGGCGCTTTTGTTTCCCGCTGCGTTCCAA